AAAGTATTCCTCCATTCCATTTAAATCATCCTTAGCCTACGTTTACAATGTGTACTATTCAATAAAATGACAAGTCATCCTTTGTCTAATTTCTCACTGCTGTTCTTTCCCACCTTTTCAAAGTCATCAGTGTAAAAGAAGTGATATTAACTGTAACCTCTGCCCACCCCACCCTTAACACAACCCACCAGAAGGGCTGGCCTCGGATGCTCAGCCTACCTTTGCCTCAGCTTCAAGACAGGAGACCAGGGGAGCTCGCTCTGGGGAAGAAAGTCAAGCTTTCTTCGAGTTAGAACCACTGACGTACTTCCCTTTCCTTCCGGTGGGCCGGGCAGGCGCTGAGAGCCTCTGTGGCTACCAGCTCCACGTCACCAAGGACCCCGGGGATAAAGCCACCTCAACCACACCCAGGTGCTCTTGAAGGCCAACAGTTTACGTTTTTAGCTGGAGGAATGACCATGCAATGCTTCCGCAGTGTTTCACTCGAGCAAGGAAACTCCCAGAGACACTGGAGGCTTCAGTTAGTCAAACGTTCCCACCTTTGCGAGAGGTTTCTCATTGACCTCAAGTGTAAATGACTCATGTAATCACAGCTCAAAGAGCAGCTGTTAACTCAAGAGTCGACTGATAACAAGACTGGCCTGGACTTTTGGGGGTAAATTGCACGGAAGCATAGCATACATATGGGGCTTCCCAGGTGGCGCTGGTGGTCAAGAACCCGCCTGCCAATGCAGGAGACACAAGAGATGTGGGTTTGATCCCTGGGTTGGGAAAATCCCCTGGAGGAGGGCATGGCAACCCACTCCAGTATTCTTGCCTGGAGAATCCCATGGACAGAGGAGCCTGGCGGGCTACAGTCCATGGGGTCGCAAAGAGTCAGACACAGCTGAGCAAGTGAGCACACGCACAGCACACATATGGAATATGACACAAATCATAAGAACAGCTGGATAAATTCTCCCAAAGTGAAGGCATCCAGATCAAGAAAAGAATTTTGAGCAGCGTCTCTGGAGCTTGCTCTGAATGACAAAATGTGTGCCTTTATGAGCAGCACCTACCTTCCTAACCAGCACTCGGAACACCGTCCCCCCCGACTTCCTTGCCCCTCAGTGGCTCTGGAGTCAGGATGCTCCATCCCCCTGGTCCCAGTGAGGAGAAGACACGGGGCAGAGCCATAGCTACGATGGTCATGTACGTGAGCGATAAATACACCTCTCTTGTCATCGCCCATCAAGAGTCTAGGGTCATTTATTTCAGCAGCTAACCTAGCCTATGCTGACTGGTGCAGTGTGTCCATGTTTTTTATATACACAGAACTGATACACTATTTAATAACCATCACAGCTTGAAAATCAGCCAGTCAAGGACTTCCTTGGTGGTCCTGTGGTTAAAACTTTGTGTTTCCAATGCAGGGAGCATAGGTTTGATCCCTGGGTGGGGAACTAAGATCCCATATGCTGCATGGCATAGCAAATAAATAAATAAATACTTCACTAAAAAAAAAAAAAAAAGAAAATCAGCTAGTCAGAAGAAGCGCCCACTGTGCCCTGAGTTATCCTTTAGTTGTTGGGTCTTAGGGATGAGGGGCGGGGGCCAGGACTGGGAGGAAGAGAGACCCAAGGGGTTCAGAGCAACAGCCACTAGCCGTTGGTACAGAGGTATTTCAGTCCCACTGTACCTGTGTTTCCCAGATGACAGCAGACCTAAATAAAGGCATTTCTTAGCTCTTCTTGTTAGCATGTGATTTCTCAGCACAGGATTCTCACTTTAGATGTGTGTTAGGCACAAGTTTATTTTCTTCTCCATTATAACATTACAGTCCTCAGACTAGTGTTTTGCAACTGCCGTCTTCATCATCATACGTATCGTCATTATTAGTGACTTGGCATGACTCCACTGTACATCGCAGTAACACACCCCTAACCTCAGGGGAAGGAAGGAAAACCTCGAACATACACAGGATAAGATTTGGATGGCAAAGGGCTGCAAAGCCCAGACAACACCAGGAGACACAACTGTGGCTGTGGATATCATTTACTGAGGTGACATGGCGAGGATTATTAGGCCCACACTTGCTAAATAAGGCATTGACAATACCAATCCTTATTTCCAAAGAGTTTATCTAAGAGACTCCACTTGAAAGAAAGAAAGCACACGACACCTGCCAACCTATGGCTAAGCCCCAAATTGAAAAACAAACCCAAGAACCAATCCACTGACTGCACAAAATCTAAACATTATTCTAAAATATGGCTGAATACGGGAGATTCATAAGCAGTTCTGACTCAGTGTGTTTACACTCCAGGACTTCTGATGGACATTCATTCTTACAGAGCGGAAGTGCAAGTCACCTGCCAGATGCCACAGTGATTTTAAATTCCTTAGCCCTAAAAAGAGTACATCAACTGGGCAGAACACAACACTTGCACTGCGTTTTCCCAAGCACTACAACATCACTGAGCCTAGAGAATTCAAGTCCTCACACTGACAGAAATTAGATTTTCAAATTTTTTCATAGAGACCATATCCTAGTCAACTCTGCAGCTTCCGCTGCAGTTCACAGACTGCCACAAAGTCAGTGCTCACTGCATGTGTGCTAAGTGAACACACGGTCCTGAAGATAAACAGACCAATTTGTCCATTTCTGGGGCAGTCTCAATATAACTATCACGTGTATTACGATCACTGAATGAATATTCTTTGACAGTTAAAACTGGAGAGTGGAACACAATGCAGATAAGCTGAGGTCATGTCATTTTTTTAAAAGTTCACATTCACATGTTTTCTGTTGATTGATGCATTTGCTGGTGACTTTCAGTCGTGATATAACTTAAGATGGAGTAGGAAATGGCAGCCTACTCCAGTATCCTGGAGGATCCCATGGACAGAGGAGCCCGGTGGGCTACGGTCCATGAGGTTGCAAAGAGTCGGACACGACTGAGCACACACATTATACTGTCTATGTGATTCAAAATCATCATCAATGCCATATCCCGGCAGCCATTCAGGACTCTCACTTGAATTAGGAAATTCTTAAAAGGCTGTGGAGCAATTTAGAAAAGATGTCTCAAACCTAACTCGGAAACTGTCCACTCCTGCATTGGACATAATTCTAACACACTCAGCTAGTGGGCCTCTGGGGCCTCCCTATGGAAGCAGAAGAAAATCAGAAGAGGGAAAAGGTCCCTGCCTGACTGAAGAGGGTAGTGCCGCTGAGCAGCTGGAGCTGGGCAGGTGGGGTCAAGTGACCAAGAAGAACACTTAAAAAGAGATCTTGGGATCTCAAGAGAAGCTAGGTGTGGGGAAGACAAAACACAGAAATGGCAGGCTTAGCATCCTATGTAGACTGAGGCTTGAGGCTGAAACACTGGAAAAAGTGAGTGGAAGCCAGAATCACAGAAGCAGAAACCAGGTGTGAGAGAGCAGCCCACCGCCAACCAGCAGGTCCCCTTGGTCAGGTCAGGTGTCCAGGGCAAGGCAGCCTTGCGTCTTTCACCCTCCCCTCTCCCTTTCCCCACAAACCAGGAAGGTGATTGCATTTTCCTCCACTCCCAGTTCTCTGCAACTGGGTAGAAGGCAGAGCTAATGTGTGGGAGAATCATTCTTTTAACATGTTTTAATTGTGTGCTTACCACAGGCCAGGTACAATTGAAGGGGCAGGGGATCCATTAGTAAACCAACTGGATTTCTGCCAGCATGGAACTAAGCTTGTATAGAGTAGAAACAAGGGTTGCAGATGAACTGAATGTGGGTGTTGCAGTTTAATTCTGCAAAGTCTCAGTGTCCCGTGGTCAAACCCTTCCTAGGAGGATGGGAAGTGGTTTTTAGCTACTGGGCTTTGGAGAGGTAAGAAGTGACAGTGTGACTTCGAGGGTGTCGTAAAAACAACAGAAAATGTAGCCCCAAAAGTCAAAGGTTTTAACCTCAGATCGCGTGCAAGCTGATACACTTATCCCAGCTCTTCTTGGAGAGCTGCTGAGAATTGCCCAGGGCAACCACTAATTTTTATAAAGACACTTGTATACAAGTTAAAGGTATGTCTAGGTCATTCTGGTCAAGGCTGCTAGGAAGTGTGCAGCATTTTACATTTTCTACCCCAAATAATGTTTTAATGGTACTTGAAGGGGGAAAAAATTATATGGAAAACTTACTTCCCCAAAGGTAAGCTTCCTTCAGATCTAAAGTTTCCTAATCCTGAAACCCCAAAGGGAGCTGCAAACAACATCTCAGACAGCCCATCACGTTCAGAAATCACTTTAAAATTTGTTCCTAAGTGTCCAAACCCGCTTGCATGTTCAAACCAATCCAACAAACTTCAGGGAGGTACAAACTTCAGGGAGGGGCCAGGACAGCCCTTCCCCTCCCGGCCTGGCTTTGTCCAGTTTGTTTTATTTTAGCTAAGGCTGTTGGAGAAGACTCTTGAGAGTCCCTTGGACTGCAAGGAGATTCAACCAGTCAGTCCTAAAGGAAATCAGTCCTGAATACTCATTGGAAGGACTGATGTTGAAGCTGAAGCTCCAATACTTTGGCTACCTGATGCGAAGAGTGACTCATTAGAAAAGACCCTGATGCTCGGAAAGAGTGAAGGCAGGAGGAGAAGGGGACGACAGAGGATGAGATGGTTGGATGGCATTACCGACTCGATGGGCATGAGTTTGAGTAAACTCCAGTGAGTTGGTGATGGACAGGGAGGCCTGGCTTGCTGCAGTCCATAGGGTCGCAGAGAGACGAACACTACTGAGCGACTGAACTGAACTGTCCAGGGAGCTGCCTGGACACCCTGGTGGAGGGGAGGTGTCCCCAAGGAGACGCGCGGCTCCCGGATGGCGGGAGGAGCGGCGGGTCCCATCCCGCGTGCACTGCGGACGCCCGGGGGAGCACGAGTCGGAGGGAAAGGGCGGCGCCCTAGAGGAGGCGGGGCGCGAGCGGGGGGCGGTGTCTGAGCGCGCCTGCGCAGTGCGCTCCACTAGGGGAGGCGGCGGCGACGCGCGGGCTGCAAGATGGAAGACTACCAGGCCGCCGAGGAGGTAACCGCCCTGTGGGCTACAGGACGGGCGGGGGCCGTGGATGCCGGGTGCTGGTGGACGGGCGGTGGCAGCCAGGGCCGTGTGCGGGCACCCGGGCTGCCTCTGGGCCTGGGTGGTGGCCGTTCCCGGCGCCCCGCCGAGCGCTTCGCAGTGACCCACCGCCTGGCGGACTCCGGGCGTCTTCGCCCTGCCCTGGGGGCCGGGGGCGCGGAGGGGGCGCTCCTCCCGTGGTTCCTCCGGGAGCGGGCTCCGCAGGCCCGGACGCCTTCCTCCGGCGGGGCAACATCCCCCGGGGATCGCCTCTGCTGCGCCTCCGACCCCCTGCACCCCCGGCCCCCTGCGTCCCCTGACCCCCTACGTCCCTCGGTCCCCTGCGTCCCCGGCCCTCCGCGTCCCCCGGCCCCCTGCGTCCCCCGGTCTCCTGCGTCCCCAGCCTTCCGCGTCCCCCCGGTCCCCTGCGCCCTCGGCCCTCCGCTCCCCCCGACCTCGGCCGTCACTCGCGCCCTTTATTCCGAGCGCAGACCCCTGCCCAAGCGGATGGGGGAGGCTGAAGGCCGCGTGTGCGTCTGCCGGCTGATGTTTGCGAGTCTCCAGAGTGACAGGCACACCTGACCCGCACGCCCAGTTACAGCTCCCCAAGGGGCCCCCAGTCCTGGACTGGCTGCTCTGGCCGCGGGCAAGCAGGCAGACGCGCCCGCGAGGAGAACCTGCCTTTTTGTCTTGGGTTCCTCTCCTGCTCTCCACGCTGTGCGCGCGTCCACCGTGGCCACCGTCACTCACATTTCATTTGAGACAGTCCGATAGCTCCAATTTTGCGGGGGGGTGGGGGGGTAGTCATTGCCCCATTGAATTAGTCGGGTAAAGCATACAGTTATTTGCAAAGCAGAAGGTATTTATTGTAACAACGTGTGCTGTTTCCTGGTTTTCCTTCCAGCTGATGAGCATTCAGGGAATGATAGCTGATGGCTGCTGCTCTTACAGAATAGTTTCCCCTTTTCTTCTCGCTAAATAATTCTGGTTGAAGTACAAATAAATGGAGCCCTGTGTATTATGCAGCCTTCCTACCCAGCACGAACCTAGTAGTGTCACCATCAATGTCCGAAGGGTGGTAGCAACATAGGGGATATTTAGGGAGAAGCCACAGTTCAGGAGCATGGTAGCCAAGGAAAAGCTATTCCCTGTCAACCATGCAGTCATATTGGAGAATGGGCTGTATTACAGGAATTACTGAGTAACTTTGAGAAAGCAAATATAGAGGAAGTCCTTCAAACTGGAGTTTTTAATACTCTGCCTTCTTATTCCGGCCCTCACCAAGGAGGTGGCTCAGTGACTTCATTATTCCAGGTCTCAACTGCGTTATCTGAGAAATGAAGGGGCTGAACAGAATGGTGTGTGTTTTACATAAGATAAAGCCCTGGGAGGCTGAGACCATGACTGTCTTCTTTCTAGTAGGCCTGCCTTCCGTGCTTACTGACCTACACAGGCAGCAGGTCAGTAACAGACCTACTGACCCCCACGGCTGCTAACTTCGTGTAGACGCCTGCCTCTTTGTAACTCTGCTCATTCATCTTTCCTGCAGAAGCTGAGACTGCCCAGTGGGTTCTGTACAACCGCTCTACTTCCCACTTAAAGTCCACTGAAATGCCTCGCCCTTTCCCATGTTTTAACCACATGGAAACTTACACAGGGACTTTCTTGTATGCTTTAGAGCCACTGAGGCCTCTTGGACGGATCTTTTAAACTTGGAGAAGTCATTTAAGATACTGCAGGTTTTCGTTAACTTGGTGAGCTGGCTTTGTCTCCAAGCATGACTTCTGAGTACAGTGGGTGAGGGGCTTCAGGCGGTCAGCTCCTGACTCTCCTGGAGAGGAAGGGGCATCGCTGGTACTGGGCGTCAGTGGTCAGCAGCCCAGCGGGGCAGAGCACTCCGTGCCCACCTCTCTGCCTTCGTCCCGCCAGGATGCACTGGGGCTGAGGGCCGGGGCTGCCCCCGGGAAGGCGCTTCTCGAGCTCAGGAAGTGAGGTGCCTGGACTCGGAACCTTGTACCCGTTCAGATGCACCGCGTGTAAAAAGAAAGAAAACCACTAAAACTCCTGGCACTAGACGAGTGCTGGCAGCCCGCCTCCCAGCTCATCCTGATACACTGGCCAAGAACTGCTGTGCCTTCAGCTGACTGTATAGTCCTGAAGCCCGACAGAGTTGGGAAAGAAAATATTAACCGGAAATAGGAAAGTCATTGTAAATTTTACCACTAAGAGTGGTCTCAAAAACCAAAAGGTCTTAAGTTTCAAACCTCCTAATTAGTTTACATTAGGGAAAGAGTTAATTCATACAAAAGTTAAGTAACTCATTGAACTTCCATATTTGTTAATGATCCTTGCAGCCGGTTGAAATGGACGGACAGGTTGAGATCTAAAGTGAACTTAGTCTCATGGATCAGGCATGATTAAAACAGACCAAAAAATCTTGAAATTGTATACATTGTACTCTAAGTCTCCTGCCTCTCACTAGCTCTGTGGTCCTCAGAGAGCTACTTAATGTTTTCCTCAGTAAAATGAACAGCCTGGTTAGATTATTTCTAAGGTCTTCATTTCTAAATTATATTCATTATCTAAATTTGCATTAATTAATGCAGTGGGAAAGGATCTTTTAAATCAATCGGGCTTAACTAATTTTTTCCCCTTACAGACTGCTTTTGTTGTTGATGAAGTGAGCAACATCGTAAAAGAGGTAAGAGAAAAAATGCTTCCTTTTTGAATGTTTGATTAGTGGCTTATATGAGTGAAAATAATGTGTTTTAAATACTATCTTGGGAAAAAAAAATAAATAAATACTATCTTGGAATTGTTTCAGCTGAGCCTGTGTGTTTTGGCATTTCAAATAACAGTTGTTACTTCAATGAATATCTAGATAAGAATTACTCCCATATTATGTAAATTATAGATTTTAAATGAGAGGAAATTTTATATACAGGCATTATTATTGACTGTCACTAAGGCTTGGTTCTATAACCTTTTAGCATAAAAGACTCATGATATACAAATAAATATTTCCAATGTTTAATGAAGAGTGAATATTAAAAAATTTAACAACTTCTAGTCACTCAAGACCTGACTTGGGGCTCATTTTTTTTTTTTTACATTCCTAAACTATCCACTTTATTGACCATGGTACCCCCTTTAGATGATAAGAATGGGAGTCAAAAAGGCTATTTGCTCATTCATTCAAAAGTACACGTCAAGGGTGCATGCAGGGTACTGATGCCCAGAGAGTTTACAAAATTGGGGAGGGGAGAGCAGACATTTATCAGGTAATCACCCTGCATTCCTCGCGTGGTGCTCTGAGGGACTAACCCATCTGGCGAGCTCAGAGCTGGGATCTGGAGAAAACAGAAGAGTAGGGTGCTGTGCTATGTTGTGCTTGGTCGCTCAGTCGTGTCTGACTCTTTGTGACCCCATGGACTGTAGCCCGCCAGGCTTTTCTGTCCATGGGGCTTCTCCAGGCAAGAATACTGGAGTGGATTGCCACGCCCTCCTCCAGGGGATCTTCCTAATCCAGGGATCAAACCCAGATCTCTCAAATTGCAGGTGGATTCTTTACCGACTTCCCTGGTGGCTCAGAGGTTAAAGCGTCTGCCTGGAATGCAGGAGACCCCGGTTCGATCCCAGAGTCGGGAAGATCCCCTGGAGAAGGAAATGGCAACCCACTCCAGTACTCTTGCCTGGAGGATCCCATGGAGGGAGGAGCCTGGTGGGCTCCAGTCCATGGGGTTGCAAAGAGTCGGACACGACTGAGCGACTTCAGAGTCACTGAGTGACTTCACTTCTTTACTGACTGAGCTACCAGGAAAGCCCAAGAATACTGGAGGGGATAGCCTATTACTTCTCCAGGGGATCTTCCCGACCCAGGAATCAAGCCAGGGTCCCTTGCATTGCAGGCAGATGCTTTTACCCGCTGAGCTACTGGGGAAGCCCCAGGAGTAGGGTTAACTTAGTAAAAAGAGGGGAACAGATATACCAGACTGAATAAGTGCAAGGGCCCTGTGGTAAGGAATGTCCTGGTATGTCTGAGGGATTTGTAGGGAGGTGGGGGTGTCTGGACTAGTGTGGGGTGCTGGGGAGAGCGCCTGGGGCAGGAATGAGGCCAGAAATGGTTTTCCTGGTCGGTTGTTCCCCCAGACCCCTGTACGTTGAGCACATAGTGAAGCTGGTGGCTCAAAGACGGTTGCTAGATTATCTCAGTTGAACAATACCATTTGAAGTTTTCTATATGATTTGAAATTGACTTTAATGCAAACTGGTATTAATGCAAGTTATTGACAAATGCCAGAGTGATTAAAGAACTCCAACCTATTTTTGTGAGCATCATCAAAATGCAAAGTGATTTAAAAAAAAAAGGCGAAGTGATCTTGTTCTGCCATATATAGTATTCCACATGAGGCATTATTTTTTAGCTGCTTTGCTGCTTTGCAGATCTTTAACACACTGCTTTTCATTGTTTTTCAAAATACAGTGTTTCTTAGGAACACAGTGGGGAGCAGGAAGATGGGTGAATTTCACTAGAACTGTGAGAAGTGGAGTTGGTTTGTTAGGAAGCCTGCTTGGGTCTCACTGTTTTCTGCAGTCTTTGACTTGGTTGCCAGGCAGCAAGTTTGATACTACTGCAGCCAGAGCCTCCCAGTCTCCCTGGAAGCACAAGTAACATTGCAGTCAATGTTCCTTTCATGTTGATCACCCAATCACTCACTTCAGCAGCTTTTTCTGCCCCTGGGCAGTAGGTTAATTCTGTACTCAAGCTATTGTTAAGTATTGCCTAGTAGTAAACTTGGATGGGTCCAAAATTAGAGAAAGGTTTTCCTCCCTCCCTGAAAAACAGTGAATTCCAAAGTGAGTGTGGAGAGAATGGCCAGAGTTAGTGGTTTAGCTTGAGTGCAGCACCCACTTCTTTGACAGAGCTGCTGCGTGCTCGCTCAGCCGTGTCTGACTTGTTGTGACCCCATGGACTAGCCTGCCAGGCTCCTCTGTCTATGGGATTATCCCAGCAAGAACACTGGAGCAGGTTGCCATTTCCTCCTCCAGGTGATCTTCCTGACCCAGAGGTTGAACCTAAGACTCCTGTACCTCCTGCATTGGCAAGTGGATTCTTCACCACGGAGCCATTTGGGAAGCCCCATTTGACAAAGCTGAGCCCAGACCTATTAATACCTTCATCCCCTGAAACCAGGTTGGGCATCAGCATAAAGGGCCCAGAAAATCATAGAATAGGAATATCCTCACTACCAACTTGACCAACAGGTAAGGCCAGGGACCATGTGTATTCCTGAATAACGCCTGAAACTCACAGCATGAACCGTCCCAGAATACAGCACAGAAGAGAAGCCAAGGAATTTCATAATAAAAAATGCATCACAAACTTAAATAAGGTTTTGGAATAGATAGAGCAGTTCTTTAGTTTTCTGAAAAACATACTTCTGTGATAACATTATCAGAAAATGCTGAATTGAGTAAAGGAAGTATTTGTAAATGCATGATTATCTGGATAGGTTTGTACATTGTGGATTATACAACCCACAAAGATTGCTCTAACTACTGTACTTTTAAGAAAGCAATAGGCAAAGGGAAGTATTTTCTAGCCTCAGTGGGAAGAAAACACGTTGCTTATCTCTAGATAATTAATCACAACAGCAAACATTAAATTCAGTCAAAATGTTTAAAAAATTTGACAGCTGCTATATAATTACATATTTTAAAAAATGAATAAAGAGGGCTTTCCTGATGGCTCAGTAATAAAGAGTCCGCCTGCAAGTTCAGGAGACGGGTTTGATCCCTGACCTGGGACGACCCCATATGCCAAGGAGCAGCCATGCCCGGGTGCCACAGCTGTTGAGCCTCTGCTCTGGCGCCTGGGAGCCAACACCTGAGCCCACGCGCCACGAGCAGAGAAGCGATGAGAAGGCCAAGCACCGAAACTAGGAGTGGCCCCGTCTCGCCGCACCTAGAGAAAGAGTCCCTGCAGCAGCGAGGACCCGGTACAGCCAAAGACAAACAAACGTTTAAAAATGAACAGAGGGGCCTCTTGATAGCCCAGTGACTAAGAATCTGCCTTCCAATGCCAGGGACGTGGGTTCCATCCCTGGTTGGGGAACTACGATCCCACGTGCCATGGAATAACTAGACCCACACACTGCGGCAAAGATCCCAAGTGCTGCAACTAAGACCCAGTGCAGCCAAAAATTTAAAACTGATAGTAAAGTAAAAGTGAAAGATAAAACATTCAAATGGAATACCGTTAAGAGGTATGTTTGCAAAGGAGTCCTCATGGTTGCCAGCAAGCTTCCTTTCACTTTATGCAAAGTGTAACTTGGCAGTTCTTCAGGCGCAGTGCTCACGTGCTGACCTCAGGAGCGGCCGGAAGGGGCGCTGTGCTAACAGTGACCGACTGTGCTCTGCCTTCCAGGCCATAGAGAGTGCCATCGGGGGCAACGCCTATCAGCACAGCAAAGTCAATCAGTGGACCACAAACGTAGTGGAACAGACCTTAAGCCAACTCACCAAGCTGGGGAAACCATTTAAGTACATCGGTAATGCACCTTTGCTTCTGGTTGGTGGTGGTGGTTCTTTAAGTACCGCGAGTCTGTGGGAGGAGACAGCAGAGACGGTTCCTGGAAGAGCATGTCACCGGCCTGTGCACACCTGCCCAGCTGGGCTGTGTGGCTGCAGGAACGACTGCGGACCACGTCCCAGGACTTCACAGCATTTCAGATCCGACACTTTTAGAGTAAGCGCGTGGTGCGGTGTCAGTATGCTAGGACCAGGCGCTCTACCCTAGAGTCATTTTCATTTTGAACGTCAGCCATGTGATCTACTGCACAGATGAGGACAGAGAGGAATGTGAGTTGCCAAGTAGATTCCTCTAGTAAAAGCTTGTTTTTCTTTAGTGACCTGTGTGATCATGCAGAAGAACGGCGCGGGCCTGCACACGGCAAGCTCCTGCTTCTGGGACAGCTCCACCGACGGTAGGTTTTCCCTCCCTGGGAAGGGCTGTCCCCAGCACGTCCCTGGGGGACCCTGCTGCCATCTAGACTGTGCAGAGCCTGTTTTAGGAAATGTGGGTTGGTTGTTTCATGTCTTTGAATGCGTATTTATTAGAGTTGCCTTTTAAAATGTTTTATAGAAGAGAGAAGGGCTGACCTTCTTTGTTGGGTACAGAGTACTGAGTGTTTGGCCTGATCCTGAGAACTCGGAAGACCTGGCTCTTCCGGTTTTCAGTGCGACCCTCCTCCTCCCCCCGCAGGGAGCTGCACCGTGCGATGGGAGAACAAGACCATGTACTGCATTGTCAGCGCCTTCGGACTGTCTATCTGAAAGCCCCGCCCCGCCCCTGACCTTTCTCCTTCCACCCCGTCCCTTCTCTCCCATCTTCTAACCACCAGCCGTCTATTCAGCGATCACCTTTCTCATCCTAAGTGTGTTTTTGTGGCACTCTCAACGTGTAGAGAAAAAAACCAAATAACCACACTGCTCTCTGTGACCTGCACACCAAGTCAGAGGCATTACCACCACAGGTAGTCAGGAGCCTCTCCTGCCACTTGTCTTAACTCTGAATGTTTCTTCTCAAAGGTGCTAAAAGCCGAACTCTGCTAGTGTGAAACTTTCTCTACTCTCTGAAACGATTCAAATACACTAATTTTCCATACTTTGTACTTTTTGTTAGAATAATAAATTATTCCAATCTAAAGTGTGTGTTTTCTTCATAATCTAAATAGTATCACAGGTGAATTCTCCATATTTAGTTGCTGGCTTTAGAATCTGTAAAACTGTAAAAAAAGCAGGAAAGGTTGCAGTCCTGCTTTGGTTCTCTTCCAGTACGGTGAACATTGCTGATCGACCACCCGGGGGGTGGGGGGCGCTTGACTGCTTTGCTGTGTCCTGGTTGGATTTCTGCCCCGAGCATCAGTCACTCTTCACTCTCAAGTCCTTCCTCTTCTGGAGCTTCAAGGGCAGGAAGTGGGCAGGCTGAACTGTTCTGTTAGCCAAAGGACTTGAAGCCACACTCTCGGCCCAGACCCGACCCACCAACACAGCAGTTTCTAGCTTGTCTGTTTTTCAGTAGCAATCAAAATAAATGTGTTTTAGTACTTTACTGCTTACGCAGTGTTTTCACAGTGACTCACTTTGTGTCCACAATAATTAGCCCATTAACAAGTCAGAAAAGGTGTTGGGAGGTTATCTGATTTAAAGTCATATCCAAGTTAAGTGAGGGGGGGGGGCCCAAACCCTGTTCTTACGATCTCGCCTTCAGGGCTTGTCCAGGGCCATGTTCACACGATGATAGACACATCTCTGCATCACCTGCTGAATTGGAAAAAAGCCCTGCTCTCATCCCTAAAGTGCCTAAACGGTCACCTTAACGCCACACGCAGAGAGGAAACCACTGTACATAAACAGGATCAAATATTAACAATGTATTAACGTCCACCAGAATGGTAGTAAAAGGTTAAAGATTTACACGATTTGAAGAAAAACCAGAGTAGAGAAACGCAGTCTCAATGAAGCCACTCCCACAGTGTGAATCTGCCGTAAATAAACGTTTATTGATGTCTGATTACAGTGATAGTTCTGTGACCCAGGGTACTGTGCTTGCTGACGCACTTCTGAGGTCTAATACTCAGCTCTAGCTTTCCCATTGAGCCTAAAATTTAGAGTTGTTTTATTTTACAAATATTTACAGTCCTTTTGTAAAAAGGCAGCTTTCAGTAGCAGAAAATTCTGTGTTTCATAGTCTGGTGTTACATTCTTGGGTTCTATGTCCTCAACTAGATGTCCCTTTTCATCACCCCTTCTCTGAGCTTCAGTGTTTTTCCCTGTGACAAGGATTCCAGGAAATAAGCTACTGACCACATCATAACATACTGAACATTAACTATACCTTGAGTAAACAGTTCACAGAATACTTCAGGCTGGTGACATTTGTCTTGTAACCTGCCCATTTAGCAAGCTGGCTTTACATACTGAATCTGAACTTTTATTGCAATCTGTAATTATGTACAGGAACAATCTTACAAACCTTGAATATATTTTATATATCCCCTTCTTTAGCCTTTCAAATGGGGCTTAAGAGAGAAAACTGCATCACTGCGCTGCTTTAATGATTTAATAATAAATCAAGCGGACCTTTATCCTCATGGATAATGAAGCTCTCTCTAGGGAAACTGAAAGGCCTATGGTCATCTTCCAGGTTCCCCAGACTAGACCAGTATAAAAAATTATCCCCAAGATGATGTTATTCATGCCGTTACCATGGAAAAACTAAAGTCAGCCCTTTGGATTTTTAATTTAAGTTTATAGAACTCTGATAACCCTCCAAGACCAAAAAAATAATAATTTTCTTGCTATCATCTAAGGTTTCTGGCAGACTTTAGTGTTATAACCTAGTACCTATGGCACATGCTAAATGCTATATACTTTAAGCAAATTTTTACATGGAAGATGTAATATGTTGACGTATATGATACACCAGAGAAGATAAATTGAAAATGCACGATTTAATAAAGAACCATTTCCCCCTTAAGTACTTTCTTTTATAACTTCCTTGTTTCGAACCTAGTTACAAAAGTTAATAAATACTCCCTTATTTTTCATTTTACTGACCTGATGCTATCAAGAATCAACCTACGTAGATCAATCATCAGTTAACAGTTAAACTACAGGACAAGGATAAGTTGTAAAAATGCCTAAATGTGTATAGCTAAATGCCTCAGATACTTTACTGATAAATAACAGCATTCCAAATTATGGACAGTTATAACGATTAAATCATGTAAACTATAACATACTAGAATACATTAATCAGCACAAGTAACTTTTCATCAGTTTACATAAAATTACTTATAGTGAATCTTAATAGAAGTAAGTTTGGTAACAAAATTTTTTCAATACCTCGGAATATACAGAATTAAAAAAAAAGGAATCACATCATTACAGATGTAAAAACTATGTAAACTTGAATTACCCTTGCAACAACACAACTGAATCCAAACTTTTATTTACAGGGTTTTAAAAACAAATATAAATGGAATCCATATTAAAGGTACGTTAAATTAAAAAGAAAAATATGAAGTCATAATAAATAGTCTTTCAGGAAGCTCTCTAAGGCCTCAGCACTACCTGAAGTGGACTATGCCTTTGAGCTCTGCATGTTAGCTGGAGAGTTGATGCATAGATGGAGAAAGTGGAGGTGCTGTCTGCAGGGTGGAACCATCACGCCCCTGCCTGTTGTGTTTGCCTGGACGGCAGCATCAGGATGTCTGCAGTGCTCACAGGTGAACCGTTCCGGGGAGATGAGTGTGCACGCGAGAGGAGAGGCAAAGAAGACAGCTCCACCCCCCACACCCGGTCTTGACAGACAGGAGCTGGGGCTCCCCAGGGCCTTCTCCCAGATCCCGCAGCTCCAGACGGCACTTGCGCAGAGCAGTTCACCCGTTTCTCTGATGGTGAACACACCTGACGACTGTGTGAGGCTCAAGGCAGGAATGATTCCCCACGTTACCGTCTCCCCACAGGTGTTCTTCCGTAAACCATCTAAAAATGTGTTACCTTCTTGCACCTAGTTTCCAAATGTGAAGCTGAAGAACTTTTTGGCAATAACGAATCTGTAGTATTGTATCAGACACTTGTTTAGCTTTTATTTAAAAAACCAAAAAGAGCTCTACAGGGGTATGGTCCTTAGCAGAGCTACTACTGCTCACTGGTTTCATGGGTGCCCTCCCCCCATCCCAACCACAGGGGTCTCATCCATGTTTATGACGTAAGGCTCACAGGCCTCTAGAAGACTCTTGACAGTGAGACCCTTCCCTGTCAACTGGAGATGATGACCTGTCAGTCCTTAAGGCACCCTGTCAAACCCTCCTCAGAACTCCAAGACACTCTTCACCTCGAACCTGCCCACCCAGCCTCCCTCTCCCCACCAACAGCCGTTGCTTACACGTCTCATAGCAACTGACCCCGGTGACCCATCACTGGAGATACGTGGTCACCCGGGGCTCCGGCCGCTCAGCGGGGAAGGACCGCCCTCGTGGGGCAGCCTCAGAAATGGGCTTCCCTCTGAAGGGTTGGCAACCGGTGCCACAGGGCAGGGGAGAAAGGAAGGGAGACAGGGGAACACCACCACGCTGCAGGCCACACTCACAAAGGCTTCCCGGGAACTCAAAATCAGCAAACTTTTTTTTATAGCACGTAATTCTCTCTACTAAGAACAGGAATGATTTCTTTCTCACCATTGAAAACAGCTTGTCTCTCATCATCTGGAATCTCTGAAAAGATGATTTGGCTGTCTAAAACTTTTTGTCAGGGCCTCTCTTCCCAAATAAATGTCATCAGTGTGACGGTACATTTAGGCCCAACATTTAAATTAGTCCTCAGTTTTGGTTTTCCTCTCAAACATACGTAAACGAATGAGGACCAGGGCGTCTCTGAGCGTCAGACACGGGCGGTCCGGGGAAGGCAGGCTGGGGCGCGTTCGCCAGGACGGCGGCCGGGCCTCAGTCGCTCTCGGAGCCCTCCTTGTACTGGGCCCGGATGGCCTGGCCGTTCTGCAGGGGCATCTCTTCATAGTCACTCCTGTCACGGAAGAGACCTCTGACACCCGGGCTCCGACAGCGCAGACGTCCTCTCCTCTCCACGCCGCGGCGCCCTCCCGAGAGCCCGGCCCCTGCTCGCCCACCCCGTTCCTCCCGCCTCCACCGCCTCCTCCTGCAGTCACCACGCGCACAGATGCCCAGCAGGAAGGCACGCGGCCCCTCCTGAGCACAGAAAACCAGGGGTCGCAGACACGCCCGGGTGGACCGAAAGGGACGATACCGTGAAAACCGCCTCAGAAGGATCGCCAGCCTCCTCGGTGAACGCGCAGAGAGGCAGGCTGAGCGCTTCCCGCGGGACAGCGAGCCTTTAGCAGAGACGGGACTGACTTACCCGTAGATCACGTCGTCGTCCGAGTCGTTGAGCATGGAGAAGGCGGGGTTGTCCTTCAGCTGTGACTCTGAAAACCAACAAGCATTGTCGTGTCGTTAGCCCGGAGAGGCCGGTGCCGTCCTAGGAAGAGGAGGAGGGTCGGAGACAGCTGGGTTCGGGTCCCCGCCTCCACCGGTTATGCCGGTGTGCGTGAGCCGGGCAGGGGTTCTGAGTCCTGGGCAGGGGGACGTGCTCTCACCCACAGGCCGGGACAGCGTGGGGTGCCTTGGTGGGAGCCTGAGGGGGCTGGGCCCCCCAGAGGAGACCGAGAGCCAGTTGCGCCTGCCCCGGGTTCCCCCAGGTCTTCTCAAGAGCCAAGCCACCCCCGGTCCCAGTCCATCACCACGGATGGGAGCACCGGACGCCGCTGGGGCCTCGGGCACGTGCTGCCAACTCCTCCATGGACAGCCTGTGGCTGGGCTCACCAAGAGCTGCCCGGGTTCCAGAGAGCCTGCCCCCTTCTCATCCCGGGCAGAAGGGCTACTGGGTGTGCTTTGGTTTGGTCCTTGGGGAGGTGGGCTGGGGGTACATTTGGGTTTCTACTGATGGTCACGGCACTCGTGTTCCACAGATCATTTCAGGGCACTGGGCGGGGGTCATGATGCTCGTGTCAGGGCCCACCGACACGCTCGTTTCTGGCATGGGGGGCTGTAACGACACAGAACCTGCTGGGGGCCACCTGCGGCTCAGGGCTCACTGTGAGCGCCCACCTGGTTCCCCTGGTCCAGAGCAGACTCTGCAGCCACGGGGGCCCTGCCCAGGGGAGGTGGGCGGGGTCAGGGCGCAGCTTACCATACAGGGCGTTCTTCGAGGGCGAGTACACAAAGGCCAAAGTGTAGAGGTAAAAGTTCAACAAGCCGTAGAAAGACAAGAATTCAGCTGGTGACACCGGTCAAGGGAAGCAGCGGTCCCGGCCACGGTCTCCTTGGTCATGTCAGCCGGCCCTTCCCCCAACCAGCTAGGCCCTCGGGGGTCCACGCCCAGACGTCAGGGCACAATGGGGCAGGCCCACGGCCAGAGGTCACGGTAACCTTCCCCGGGGAACCTGGAACCCCCAGGCGAGCCACGCCCTCTCCTCACCCACGGCAGGACCTGCTGTGATCAGGTCACGCACAAGCGGGGGAAGGCCACACAGATGTGGGAAAGTCAACGAGGAAATGAAGAGCTGGAAACAGACTCTCAAACTGGTCCTTCTTAGTCTTTTCTGGATTACAGACCCTTTAGAGAATCTGATGAAAGCTTAGTGTGAGATTCAGTTACTGAACTGTGAACAATCACACACTGACTCCAAGGATGTTAATCAGAGGCCCCAAAGAAAGAACACAAGACATCCAGGGTGAACCCCAGAGTGTCCCCTGACGGATGGCACCACTGCCAGCGGAGAGGGGAGCGCACACCTGGCCTGGTCATGCATCTGAAACGGGGCTACTGCCGAGCAACGGGGCCTCGGGGATCGCAGGAGCCCGGCCCTGAGACACCGGCGTCCCCCACAGCTGGACGCACCTGGGAGGTGCTAAGGGATGTCCCCTGGTAGAGAGGACCCCCAGCGAGAGGCGGGCAGCCCCGGCCTGACCCGAGGCGCCGATGGTGACCTGCCTCTCTCCAGTCGCCGTCCCACGAAGGGGACAGCCGCGGCAGGTGCCAGGATCCGCAGGCTTGACCCCATCTGGTGAGCGACCCCCGGGACAGCTGAGCCCCGCGGCCGCTCTGGGGCCTCTCACTCGGGGGGACAGGCGTGAGGCCCCCAGGGTATGCTGTACAGGTGACCTGCTTCTTACAGACGCTCAGAGGGCTGAAACGCTACCCACTCCACTAGGCTGTGTGCCTGACATCTTCCCGAAAAAGGATATAATTCTGGTAGTGAGTCGACAGTTCAGCTACGAAATTGTCCTGTAACACTTGGGCTCCGAACCTTAAATAAAGGATGACGATGCTGAAAAAGAAGGGAGGGATGAACAATATGGTAAAAATGTACCAAGAAACAGCACTAGCTTCATATGTCAATAAACTTGCTACTTTTGCTTACGCTAGTCATGATTATTTCTGCATGGAGACTTGCGCTTACACACACACGCACGTGCACACACGCGCACAGCCTCTCTGCTGACACGCATGACGGCAGGGTCCTGGTACCCAGAGCCCACCTCCCCTCCCTGGGATCCAACCTCCACTGTGGCCAGACCAACTACTGAATACAACAATAAACCAGGTCTCTTCCCTCCCGGCCAAATGCCCTGCGAAGGCCTCCCATCACTGAGAATGGAACCCGGCCTCAGCCTGACTTCCTGGCCACCCTGCCCTCCCACCCTCCACCCCCGCACACTGCTGTCCCCAGGCCCGACTTCAGGCAGCAGATCCCCCACCCACCCTGCTAAAGCAGCCACAAGCCCCCAGCTGTCATCACACCTCTGTTTTCATTACAGCACTTCTGCTCTTTATTCATTGTGTTTTTTTAATCACCACCTTCCTCCACTGGAATATAAACACTGCAACAGGGAGGAAGGAGCCTGCCCGCCTATTCACCAGGGCAGGCACTCCATAAACCTCTGCTGCACCATCCGGCCGATCCCCTTGAAAGTCAGATGAAGAAAGATCACAAAGCCTAAGAGCCTGCGGCAGTCGGTCCAAGGAGACTGCAGCTCCCGAGCGGTGGGCGGGGGTGGCCGAAGGGTGAGGATGTGCGGGGGTCGGGGGGTGAGTTTGTGCAGAAGGAGGTGAGCTGAGTGTGAGGCCGCACAGCTGGCTGAGGAAAGGCTGAGTGAAAGCCACACATGCACCTAAACCTTCAGGTGAATGCAGAGGCGGAATAAAACCCACCTCGCTTTGAAAAGCGGGCTGAATTCATGTGGCTCGGTGAGGGCGGTGAAGGAACCCGGAGGCCTCCAGGATCCCCCGCCCCACACGGCTGGGACCCCAGAGCAGCGGTGGGGAGCCAACCCCTCGGGGAGCTGACCCCAAGGAGCGCCCCCACCAGGGGAAGGGGCTGACGCCCACATCTCTGCACAACAAAGAGTGAAATGCAGACACTACGCTTCTCCTCTCAGGGTTTCGATCGGGAGCAAGGACCTGGGATTCATTCAAAGACTTGGCCTTCTGCACCTCCCTCAGGTGCATGCAAACAAAAACAACTCCCGCTCACAGACCTGTCCGAGTGTATCACACTGGATTCTAATCCTCTGACCCGTGTTCTCCTGCGCCTGCCGCTTCCACGGCAAACGTCAGGGCAGGGAGGGCATGCGATCCTGTCTCCCTGGGGCCCTGCCTGGCAGAAGAACTCTGACCCGTGGGAGACCTGGTGAGGAGCACCCTAAAACTAACCCCATAGAAGGGGACAAAAGGTACCTGTGACAGTAGAACAGAAACTCACGTTTTGCTTCTTTCAAGCAATAAAGCCTCACCTGATGACGAGCACTGCAAAAGTCAACGCAGTCAGGAATTTTAACCTGAGATCTGAAAGAGAAACACACACACGCCTCTAAAATCTCCAAAGTGGGGAAAAAATAAATAAAATAAAATCACCGAAGTGGGAGTAAATCCACTCATCCCAGAGATCTTAAAAATAAAGAAGAAAAGACAGTCAAACCCTCCAAACAAAACCCCCTCCCCTCTGGACTCCACCCTGTTAGTACCTGACGCCCAGGAAGACACGCTGTCCCACCTCCCCACGTCCGGAGGCCGCCCAGCGGGGCCGTGGCCGTTACTATTCAGTTGTCACAGACTGGGGGGAAGGACCCTATGAGGTCAAGTGACATGCCCCGATTCCAAGAGAAGGAAACCCCCACCCCCGCCGCCTTGCTCGGAAGGTGTGATTCCAGAAGGATCCATGCAGCTCCAACGCCACACACTCGGGCCCCCGGGGCGCCAACTGACTCCGCCCCCACTGGGCTCCCTCCTGCCCTTGCCTGAGGCACTGTCCACATGGCCCAGTCACCCCGGCAGCCCTGCCGAGGTCCCCCCCCCGGCCTGAAGGCGCCCACCTCCCCGACCTGGCGGGCAGCCCTGCACCAGCGGTGAGAGGCCAGCACTCACCTACGTAAGGCATGTGACCCAGCTCGGAGCAGGCCCGCACGATCAAGAACAAAAGGTACAAGATGTACACGGCGGCCACCACCATGAAGAAAACCTTCATTCCCTGGCAGGAAACAAGAGGGGCCCTTGAACGGCCATAGGGTCTCAAGGGTGGTCTTTCCCTCCGATGCCATAAGCAGGAAAGCCAAGCCTTTCTAAAAGGACCCAGGGTCGTGGATCACAGCTGGGAGCAGCTGAGGACATGCAGACTCTCCTCGTGCGGGCACAGGCAGCCGGCTCACCCAGGAGCGCACCCCGGTCCCTGCTCATCAGACGCGCAAACACTTCCCTGACGCATGGGCAGCTCTGAGCACGGGGACCGGAACGTCCTAGGTGCTCAGTAAACGTGGTGGCTCCCGCTTGCCCCTCCCCGGGGTGAGAGCCTGGCTCCCTGCCCTGCTCGGAAAGATCGTGATGTGGGTCCGGCCTGGATCTCAGCTTCTCTGGACCTCAGTTTTCTTTCCTGAGGACCGAGCAGACAGAACCTGACCATCTAGAAGACTCTAGGTTCTGCGACCCTGATGCAGGGAACACAGGACAACTCTCGTCTGCGGTCAGGAGCTGTGACAGGGAAGCTGACTGATGAAGATCAGGCCCCCCTGGGCTGGGTGCTGGTGACCCTCCTTCCGCAGAATCTCTGCGAGAGTTCTAAAACTCCTCTGCACCTGACACCCCAACCCCATCCTCCTGCCCCCACCCTTCCTTCTCAGAGCCAGGACCGCCCTGCACAGTCAGGAGACAAAGGATCTGCTCTGCCTCCTCGGAACCTGTGACTGCGGCCTGGGCTTGGTTTTCTCGTCTATAAAGAAAAAGGATTTCACGGCCTCCATCCTGGGCCCCCTCAGCTATCTCCCTAGAAGCCCATGATTTCAAGGGTTTCCTTTAGTAACAGGACTAGACTGCTCAGTCTGTCCTTCCTGCGAGGACTCCAGAGCCCATGGCCTCCCTGACTGCCGGGTTGCGGAGGAGACAAGTGACCAGAGCTGCAGTGACCCTGCCGTGCCGAAGCCCGGCCCAGCGCGTCACCCTCCTTCTCTCTCTCTCTCGATCCTCATGACAACTCGAGGGAAGATCCCATCACTGCCCATCGCACAGATGACAGAGGGGGAGGAGGGGGGGCGGCCATGGCCCAGGACCGTGGGCTTCACCCGCAGGCCCGGGGAGCCTTGCCACAGCACAGGCACTGGCCTGTGACCTTGGGTAGGACGGCGTGTGACCTTGGGCAGGACTGCCTGCCCCATGTCCTCCTGTGAGAAGTGAGCAGTGACCGTACCAGACAGAAGCTCCCTAACTGTAGATCAGCATTTGTTTAGTTCAGTCGCTTGGTCATGTCCGACTCTTTGCAACCCCATGGACTGCAGCACGCCAGGCCTCCCTGTCCATCACCAACTCCTGGAGTTTACTCAAACTCATGTCCATTGAGTTGGTGATGCCATCCAACCACCTCATCCTCTGTCATCCCCTTCTCCTCCCACCTTCAATCTTTGCTGGCATCAGGGTCTTTTCAAATGAGTAGCTTGGGAGGTACAAATTCAACCAACAGTGTCAAATGTCATCTGTCACCAGGGGCTGCAGAATCTTCCCTGACAAGGTGTCAGAGCAGTTCCTTCCTCCCCCTTCCTTAGTGTCTCCATCCCAGAGGGGCTGCCCTGAGGCCTCGCCCCTCAGGAGACACGGCCGAGAGCCTTCCTGGGGCGCCCAGATTCCCCAGGGGTCTGCCCTGCCCCATCACAGCTCAGGGACAGACAGTGTCTCCCCCGTCTGGCCCAGGACACCTCCCCCTCCTCTCCAGCTCCAGGGGCACCCCGCCCTGCAAACCTACAAAAGCATCCCAGGGCTAATTCAAAGACAGAGAGGACAAAACACAAATGAAGACACGACCTCCCCCCAGTAACGGGGGCCTGCGGTCCACAAGGACTGGTGGGCCCCGCACACTGCGACACTGGTCTCTTTCCCACGCCTTCTCTCCCTCACAAGGTCACATATCCTTTGAGGGCAAAGGTTATGATGTGCTGTTCGTAAGGCATACACTGAATGGCCTTCAGAACTCCTTAGACTCACAAGCAGTGGAGCGGAGAGGCTACGGACACTCTGCTGCCGGAGTCCAGTTAAGAATCAGCGCTGGCGCCAATCCCCGTGACAGGTCTGTCTCAACCAGCTTTTCAACACGGTACCGTCATTCACTACACTTCTCTTCTTTGCAGACAGCAGTTCCCACAAAGAACCACAGACTTGATCACCCTCTGCAAAGCCGCATGGAAAAATGCTGGAAAGTCCCCTGGGGTCAGGATTCAGCTCTGGGGCTCTGGGGCTCGCCCTGCCCGGGGACAGGACTCCCAGACCCCCAGCAGGGGTCCAGGTGCCCCTCAGCCCCAGGCACCTCCACACCTGGGCTCCATGGAAGCTGCGCCAGGATGGGCGCATGTATCAGTGAGGTACTGATACATCCCGGGCCTCAAGAGGAGGCCACACTCAGGGCTGGCTGCCATTCGTGTAAAATAAAGATGCTGGAATCCGCCTTCCCAAAGTGCGAAAAATTTCAGGACCGACACAGTGCAACGTCACCCGGAGTGCCAGGCCCTCGGGATGCAGGGCTCGCAGGCCCATGAAGCCAGCCCCGCTCCACTTCAGAGAACTAAATGAACAAAATGTTTTCTTAATTGTTCTACAATGTTCCTAGAAATCTGCACAACCTCTGTGCCCTGGCGCTTCAACCGTAAACCAAGGATGGGGAGTGACAATGCAGGGTTTCTTTTTCCAACTACTCAAACACATGTCCGCCAATTTTCCACCCATGAACTTTCTATGGCCCTTGTCAAATAACCAGTTAGCGAGCTTGTGTCAATGCACAATTTAAGTTAAAAAATTGAGTCATTTTTTTAAAGCAGCAGTTAAAAAAATCCGCAGGTTTCACTAACCATCCTTACCTGAAAATTTCCTGTGTCAACTCGATACTGGTACATTGGATCATGTAGTTCATTGACTCTAAAAATACGATGTTATTAAAAAAAAAAGCCAATAGATTAATAACTAGTTTATTTTATACTTTCTCTCACTTGAATTTTTTAAAAAACGTACTAATATAATATACTTGCTGACCAACCGTAAAAGATTTTTGCAAAGTAAACCTTGGTTTATGAGAAATCTCGAATTACCTACTGAATAGGCACACGACACGACTCAACTGTCCACAGTCATCAGTATTGTAAAGTCAAGTCCTTTTCATTAAGAAAATATACTGTATCTTTTTAACTTTAAGACTGACTTCCCAGGCACCCTTTCTGAGGCATGTGTGGGCACCAGGAAACACGAGCACCCAAAGGCAGCAATGTGCACAGCCGCTGAGTCGGTGTCTGACCCTTTGTGACCCTGTGGACTGCAGCCGCCAGGCTCCTCTGTCCGTGGGATCTTCCAGGCAAGAATGCTGCAGTGGGTGGCCATACCCTCCTCCAGGGAAAGACAGCAAGAAAGGTAAATACAAACTTCCATGAAACTCATGTCAAAATGACACTGGGTCACTGAGATGACAGGTGGGCAGGGAGAGAAGCAGATGTGAGTTAACTCCTACCATTATTGTACCAAGAAATGAGATGTGCCAGCTTCCAAAATCATATTCCTGAGATGGGACTAGTTTCTGCAGAAAATTCTGTTTGGGTGAATCAGGCTAGTTAGGCTTCTGCATGGTGCCTTTTTACTGATGGACAGAAATATTAAAGATCAACTCTGGGAGCTGGTGTAAGGACGGGAAGGTTTACAGACACAAACCAAAGGAGAGAATCAAAACATCTGGGGACAGTGGGCCAGGAGCCAAACAGAGCGTCATCCCTACAAATGAAGCCTCTACCTCTCAGAAAGAGAGATCTGAAATGACGTGGTCTTTTTCATTTTCCACCCAAGACTAGAAGAATCATGTATGCCTCTACACGCTGTTCAAGCAAAAATGAAACCTCAGTTCAAGTCACATGACCAAGCCTTGAAACCCTGGGTTACAGATTCCTTTCTGGATGAGTTCATGCAACATAGTCAACTCTGAGTCTGTCCACCTTGTTCAAGGCTTGCCAAGACTGTGGTTACAGCAGAAGAAAGTTACTCACGTCTGCCATATTCCAAGGGTAACAGATGCCAACCACAGTAGTCCAACGATGAAGAATTTAGGCAAATAGAAAGTCAAACACTTCCTTTCTCCCTTTAAAAAAAAATAAACAATAGAGAAGTTACTAATCCTTGCAAACCATTATTCCCTCACAGACCACACCGGATCACAGATACTCAGATCATGTCCACACGGCATGCATCTTCCGTGGACTGTGAGGCTGACAACAGGTTCTCAAGGCTGAGTTCACTTTCAGGACTGTCACCAGTGTCTGGGGCGGAAGGGTCACCGCTGAGGGCTCACCTGCACCCGGATCCCGTGGTACACGCACAGCCAGAAGAGCAGCAGGGCGCACAGAAACACAGACTGGAACAGGTCGTCCAGCATCCCCGGGAACCAGCTGTTCACCAGGAAGGACAGGGGGAAAAACGGGTCTGGAAGGCAAGAGGCAGGCAGGCCTGATGAAGGTGGAGCCGGCAGGGTGCCCTGAACCCACAGGAGGGCAGAACTCAGGACTGCTTTCTCCCCGGTCAGATCCCGGGGGAATGGTAGTGAACTAAAGGCTGTCTTGTTTTGCAAAAAACCGAAAAGCCACTGAACAGCTTGCTGTGGGGATGACTGCAGAGCGCCGTCTGCTCCTGCCAGCCACAGCTCTGGAAGGAAATGCTTTCTGGGGCAGGGGACAGGGGCAGACAGCCAGGCTCCCACCCTCAGCCAAGTCCTTCAAGTGGGAGGGGGGTGGGGGGAAGGCGCCCGCCCCAGCGAGTCCTGGGGCCACATCCTGCCCGTTCCCTGGTCAGGGCCCCATCACCCCCGGGATGCCCTCCAGCTCTCGGCATGGAGGGGGACCACGCCGAAGGGCCTACCGTTGTAGAGCAGCAGCAGAGGCAGGAGGATGGACATCCACTTCTGCTCGATGCCCCAGTCTCGCATGGAGAATTTGCGGAGAGAGTGCGCAAACAGGCACTGCGAACCAGACCAGGCCCCGTCACCGTCTCGGCCACCCCACGCAGCGTCCCCTGACACCTCTCAGCCCACATCGAAGGTCTGGGGCCAGCCCAGACCTGCTGCACTAACCCCGGGCTGAACCGACCCCGAGACCGCCAGGGACAACCGTGAAGGAGCCTTTATCACAGGACAGGGGTCAGACAAGGATGGTCATGGCCACGACCCTCCGGCCTGGCCTCCTCCTGGGCCGGCTGCTTCTATCAGGAGGGACCGCCCAGGGCACAGGCCCCATCCCCCCGAGGTGCAACTCACAGGGGACAGAGGCTTCCGGGAGACACCAGGGCGCCCGGAGGAAAAGCCCCAGAATGAGGCTTACAGTCACGGTCAGACGTCGGGCCTGTTTTCAAACACGTGCCTGAAAGCGCCCGGTTCCTGGGAGAGGCTTCTTTATAGCCTTTAAAGCATCACACAATCTGGGATTTCTAAGCCTGGCATTGTTTCTTGTTTTTCTTGCGATCTAACAGAAGCCAGTAATCTCCTATGCAATTTGGATGTCCTGGGCTGATGGCCCATCTCCCCGTCTGTCCGAATCAGGCCCGTTTCTCTCGTTTGAGAACACAGGGCCCCGGGGGCCAGTTCTTTGGGCTCCCGAGTCTGGCTGCAGGGCTGCAGACAACAGGAATCCTTTAAGAACCAGCGAGGATCTCTGACCTGGGGTTGACGGCACTTTCCCACCTCCCTGATGCTGGACATCAGCACACAGCAGGCAGATGACGGAGGCGGGCAGCTGACGGGGGCAGGCAGATGATGGAGGCAGGCCCCCGTCTTCTTCCTTCAGTTTACAGATGCCCACCCTCGCTGACTGAGCCTCGGTGGAGCTGCTTGTACTTTAATGGGTAATTGCCCCCCCAAAGTCATGGTGCCCTTGTGGACAGACACCGCGGATCCCAAAGGATCCCAAGCCTGCACATCCATCCCCTCATCCTGAAAAAAGCCCAAAGACTGAAAAGTCTGGTCCACTTTTCCAAATGTAAAAAACCCAAGAACCTGCTGAGTCAGCACTCAAAGAAGGGCATTCAAACAAGGCAGAACTCCTTCCACCCAAGTTACAGGGCCCTTGTCACTGAACACCCATGACAATTCACTTACTAGTCAGTCACCTGTAATTACTATGACACTACTCAGGAGTCCTTACTAATGACACCACAGCATTCCTGCAGCGCAGCGCCCTGGCAGAATATAGAATATTTGGTACCATCAGGTCAGCCGACTGGATGGAGTGTCTCAGAGTTCAGATAAATCTCCTGCACTCTGACAACCAGAATTTATAAACTAATTCTGCCCTTGTTGGGATTCCATGACGTGAACGGTACTTACAGTGACAATGAAGGTAAGCACCACAAAGACGAACCGGAACCAGATTTCCAAATGGGAAAATGCAGGGTCATAAGTCTTCCACTAAAACAGAAAGCAGGAAAATAATTTGGGAAAAAATTCATCTGAAAGGAAGTACATCACATCATTAACAACAATCATCTTGAAATTAAGACTACAGGTAATTTAAAATGTTCTCCTACACTTTCTGATATGTTCTAAAACTTTATTAAAGAACACATACTTTGTACCAAGAGTTGAAAATGGGCTTTAAACGGTAGCATACTGATGATGAATCTGGCAGATAAACTGTTCTATAATAAGAGCATTCGGCTTTTAAATCTCATATCAAAGGTTGATCAAAGCTATCAATCTCTTTATTAGAAAAAGCCATCAGTGGGTGGGGGGTGGGGGAGACAGAAAGAAAAAGCCATGCTTTCTATTAAAAGAAAAAACTTGTTTTAAGAATGCAAAAAATATGAGTAGGTATGATGTTCTAAAGGACACTAAGTGAAACAGAAATATGAATCTGACACAAGAAAACACTGTGGAATTACAGCTGCCAGCTCTTGTGCAGTCTCATATCAAGTATGCGGCTAACAGGGCGAGGAAGGGGCCCTGCATGCTGACAGCAGGTGGAAGGCAGCCCTTCCCACCCCGCTCAGCACCAAGTTCATCCCCAGACCCCAGGACCTGCGCTGCACCGCGCCGGGAAGGACCATCATGTATGTGCTGAATTAAAATCAGCTGAGCGATGTAAAAACTTGTAACAGAGCAACAATCAAGTGAAAGACTCAGATTTCCCTCACCTGCCTGCAACGTTAAATATACACACACACACAGAGACAGCGGACACGAAGCAGTGAAGGGCCATATCGCCCGCTGAGGGGGGTGGGGTGCACCCTCGGGTCACCCCACGCCATGCAGGAAGCTGAGCCGAGCCCACGGTCTCCCTGAGTCGTGAACACCCCGCAGTGAGAGCAGGGACAGAGCTCACCAGTCGGGACTCCCGGGGCAGAGCACTGAGAGCACAGAGCCAGCTCCAGACACCTGCCAGGGTCGTGCCCCCCCACACCTTCAGCCGAATGTTGATCTGTGCGTGAGTGTGGGTAAGCTACCCAAGGCCGGGAAATCCCCGAAAGGGGCCCTGGCATGCATGCAGGGCCAGGACAGCGCCTGTTCCACGGGCAGGATCCCTGGCATGCATGCAGGGCCAGACACAGCACCTGCTCCAGGGGCAGGATCCCTGGCACACAGGGCCAGACACAGAGCCTGCTCCACGGGCAGGATCCCTGGCACGCACGCAGGGCCAGGACAGCGCCTGCTCCATGGGCAGGATCCCTGGCACGCAGGGCCAGACACAGCGCCTGCTCCACGGGCAGGATCCCTGGCACGCACGCAGGGCCAGGACAGCGCCTGCTCCATGGGCAGCAGGAACACGCTCAGGGGTCTGGGCAGTGCACCGCCAGCGTGTTTTATCTCAGCGGTGGGGCAACATCAGCCTTACACTGGGTGCTGCTCAAGCAAAGTTTAAAATCCAGGCTTGAAGAGATCGAGCTGCTCCCAAGTATCATTATCGCATCCTGGAACAGAGCTCTGGGATGTTTATGAGCGTAAAGAACTCCAGCAATCATAAGGTCTGGCACTGAATCAAAAATACGAGACGTGTAAAAAAGCAAGAAAATATGAAACAGAATGAGAAAGAAAGTAATCCATCAAACTGACCCAGAAATCACAGATGATGGATTTGGTAGATAAGGACTTCAAGCAGCTAGAGGAACGTGAGGCAGAGACCCGGAGGCTGATCAACAGCAGGTGAGACATCGCAGAGGGTATAAACATGAACACAGAGCAAAGGAATCGACTTAAAATGAAACAGAAAAAAAGCACAGAGCATCAGTAAGCTCTGAGACAACTGCAGGCGGCCGAGAAGATGTATTAATGTATCTGGAGTCCTCGGATTTCTACTGATGGGAAGAAGGCAGGAGGATAGAAAAAATATTTGAAGAAATAGTGGCCAGAATTTTCCCAAAGTTGATGAAAACTATAAACTCACAAATCCAATAAGCTCAACTATACTCTAAGTACAAGAAATATGAAGAAAAGTATACCAAGGAACACCATAATCAAACTGTTAAAGTAAAAGAGAAAAAAAATCTTAAAAGTGAGGGTGGGGGATGGGTAATGGGGAGGAAAACTATTATAGAGGACAAATATAGGATGATAGATTTCTGTCAAAAAATGCAAGCCAGGAGACAAATATTTTCAAAGTACTGTAAATAAACACAATACCACTGCACACCTATCGTTGTTGCTGCTGTTTAGACACTCAGTTGTGTCTGACTCTCTGCGACCCTGTGGACTGTAGCCCACCAGGCTCCTCTGTCCATGGGATTGCCCAGGCAAGAGAGTTGGAGTGGGTTGCCATGTCCTCCTCCGGGAGACCTTCCCAACCCAGGGACTGAATCTCCTGCATTGGCAGGCGGGTTCTTTACTGCTGAGCCACCATGGGAGCTATATGCCTATCAGAATGGCCAAAATTACGGAGACCGACCTACCGAGTGGTGATGAGACGTGAAACGGCTGGGACTCTCACAGGCGCTGACCGACATGTGAGACAACACGGCCGCCGTGAACCCAGGGTGTCTTCATCAGCGACACAGGCCGCGGCCACGTGAGTCGGCAGCCCATTCCTACTTAGCCAAGGGAAGTGAAAGTGCATGTCCACACAAAGGTCTGGACACGGCGGTTCACAGCGGCTCTGTAACAGCCCCGAACTGCAAACAGTGCCGACGTCCACGAGCAGGTGAGTGGGTAAACTAACTGTGCTGCCTTCACTGGGGATTGTGATAGAGCAGCAGAGAGGGATAAACTACCGAACACCCACCACCATCAACCAGTGTCCGAGTAGTTGTGCTGAATACAGGAACTCAAACCTGCCGTACGATTCCACTTACATAAAATTCAAAAAAAGTACAAATGAGTCTGCAATGCAAGCAGAACTATTAACAACTGCTGTTAATAGAAAAGTGGAAATCACGGTGATTAAGAACATATGAACTGTGACATCAGCGATTCAGGTTCAAACTCCAGCTTTCCCATTTCCCAGTTGGGCAATTTAATCACATTAAACCTCAGGTTTTACCTCCATAAAGCAACTGCTCTGTAGAGGTATCGTAACATTTAAGTAAGCTGGTGCACAGAACAAGTTTAGTGCAGAACCTGGCAAGGAGCAAAAGTTCAGCAAATAACAGCAGCTATTAGAAATACAAAATAAAACAGCTACTGCGATGATTGCTTAAGAGAAAATGTAAACAGGTACAAAAGTTAAAAAGAGAGAATCACAATCAAAGACAAACCAAACAGTGACCCAAACCCAAATGACAGGGTTGGGTGAGGTAAACCCCGGAGGGGAACAATGCTGAGCACTTTGGTAAAAGGCTCTTAAAAGGGTGATGTTCAGACAAAGATGACGGAAAGGAGAGATCCTCTTCTTTCCACATTCTTGAATCAGAAGGATGCAAACAGCAAGGTCTAAAGCACAGATGTTATCACACGACGAGAGCAAAGGGCAAAACATCAGTCTGAGGCCCTATCTGAGTTCAACTTCTGCCTCGTGAACTCCACGACGCAGGCAGAACGCTGATTGGATTTTCTGAGGACAAAGTTCGAGGAAATCAGTCACACAACAAAGAACAGAGTCCAGATTTGAACTCAAAGATCAGGAAAGGTTGGGGCAGAAAGAACACTGAGAAGAAATTCAGGAGCAGAGTGTAATGTCTGAGCAGCATCTGAACTGTCAGAAACCAACCACAGAGGCTGGAACACATGGCTGATCTGGGGCCATGGGGAGAAAACCCGGAATCTGAGGGATCCATAAGGGAAGAAAAGAAAGATCCTCGGAGGGGATGAGACAGCCATCTTCAAACACCTGCAGCGCGTACTGGCAGACAAAGAATAAACCCGCTTTGGGTGGTTCAGAGACAGGATAAGAACAAAAGTAGTGTGACTGTGACCACAGCTGCCATCTGTCAGCTCAAAAAACAAGTAGGCGCTGGGCATGGCTCCAAGCCCAGCTGACGTCCAGAGGCCTCCAGGAAATGGGGGAACCGCAGAGGCGGGAAGGTACCTAAGGGTGCAGGAGGCGCCCGCACCCCTCAGCCTCTCAGTGAAGGGGACCAGTTCATCCAAATAAAAACCTGTCTGTACGTACTCTCGGGTTTCCCCCATGGCTCAGCTGGTAAAGAATCCGCCTGCAATGTGGGAAACCTGGGTTCGATCCCTGGGTTGGGACGATTTGCTGGAGAAGGGAAAGGCTACCCACACTGGTATTCTGGCCTCGAGAGTTCCATAGACTGTATAGTCCATGGGGCCACAAAGAGTTGGACACGACTGAGCGACTTCACTTCCCCTGCACATCCTCGCAGCAGTGTTCCTCCTAGCAGCTGAAGGATGGAAACAGCCCGAACGCCCGTGCACCGATGCCTGGGTACACAAGAGGCGGCACACACACAGAGAAACAGTATTCGGCAAAAGAGGATCGAAGAGCCGACGCCAGCAAAGCGCGGAGGAACTCTTGAAAGCACAGCTCAGTGAAGAAAGTCGTTCACCGAAGAGCATGAAGGGCATGATTCTGCTTGTATGAAACGTCCACAACAGGCAATCCATACAGGTAGACGGCAGACGGGTGACTGCCACGGCTGGGGGAGGGGAAGCGGGGGCCAACTGCTCCCAGGCTGCGTTTGTGTCATGTGAACCACTGTGTTGCATGAATACAGCACAGAACAGAGCAATTTGAGAAAGGAACTCACTGGCACCTTCATTCAACAGTCACAGCTGTTAAGTAGCTATTTTATGATGAGGAAACAAAAGGCAGAAGTAATGGTGGCTCTGGGATCTGAACCCAGCTCTTCTGTTTGGTCTAAAACCCACGTTCTCAGTCACCATGCTGATTATTCTGACTTCCAAAGAGCAAGCGGAGGGAACAAGCAGGCTCATTTCAGCTGGACGTGAGACAGGGCAGTCTAACCATCAGAGCTTCCCAGGTGGCGTTAGTGGTAAAGAACCTGTCTGCCAGTGCAGGAGACATAAGAAACAGGGGTTCGATCCCTGGGTCGGGAAGACCCTCTGGAGGAGGGCATGGCAACCCGCTGCAGTATTCTTGCCTGGAGAATCCCATGGACAGAGGAGCCTGGTGGGCTTCAGTCCATAGGGTCACGGAGAGTCAGGCATGGCTGAGTAACTCAGCACACACAACCATCAGAGCTGTGGGATTCGGGTCACAACTGAGAGCAGGGACTAGCCCTCCCCACCCCCCCCAGAGGTCAGCCGAGTCTAAGTCCACTCAGGCCTGGAGGAGGGGGCCCCGCCTTCGCCAGAGGGCACCGCCAGTACCTTCCAACTGCAAGGCTATTCTCGCTCTCAAGTCTCATGACACCACAGTCTTCCAATTCCACGCTGATTCTTTAAGCTATTCTTCACTCCATGTATACTTATAAACTGGTTTTTCTATAGTTTTTAGAATTGTACGTGTCTTACACCATCCAAAAATAACACGATTTCGATGCTGTGATTTATTTCGGTCATCCCACAGAGAATGGGAGCTACGCAAATGAGCCATGCAAACGCTGTGGTCAGCTGGTGTACTTACGGTGAAGTTCATTTCCTTGATGGGCCGCTTTAGGTGTTCGAATCCCACAGTCACTGTATACTTAGTGTAATTCAGGTAGCTGAGGTGAGCCACGATGATTTCTGCACATTTCTGCAAATGTACAAGCAAGATCTGTGTCCTTAAAGTGAGCAAGACTCACTCTCCCCCAAGTGACTCGTGAAGTGACCCATTCCAACCGCAGAGGATCAGCAGTGAGCATCTCCAGGGAGCTCGCCAGGAGCCCAAGGGAACTCAGATGCCAGCCAAGAGCAGTTCTTAGAACCAAATGGACATATTTAGAAACAAATAACGCATGATTCACAATCATTAGAACCTTTCTACATCATAGGATTCAAAATAACATGTCACCTGAATAAAAAGGTGAGTTAATGCAACATGAACTCACATTTTCACAAATACACTAGTGCAGGAGGCACGCCAGTGAGGACACGACCCCTCAGAGCCCTCCGCCTGACCTTCCTTCCTCTGCGGCCCATCTCTGCAGTCTCTGTAGGATGCACGGGGCGGATTACACGTTTCCCTTTTCTCCCCTGGCCTGTGGCTCCCACGCAGAGCCCCTGTAGTCTCGGTGGTGTGGCATGTGTATCCATGGACCGGCCGAGCCCCAAGCTTTCGTCCTTTAGGATTAAGAACGGGCCTGCTCGGGTCTCCCCTGCGGATGTGGATGTGGACTCGGAGGCCAAGCCAGCCTGGGCCACGAGGAACATGCAGGCCGCCCTGTGGCACCTGCTGGAGCCACGGCTCCAACTGGGGCTGAGTCACCTGCTGGTGAGCAAGGCTTCCCGAGCCCAGGATGCCCTGAAGACGGCAGGGCAGCAGGTGGGGCAGGAGAGGAGGCAGAGGAGAGGGGGTGCGCGGTATCCGCGGGCTGGAGAAGGCGGCTGCTGGGCCGGTGGTCCCTGCGGCCCCCACGCCCACTGTCCCTCCTGTCCATCCAGCGTGGCGGGGGGTGGGGGGACCCGGGCTCTCATGCCAGCACGCACAGCACCAGCTCTCACTTCCTCGCCCACCTCCATCCTCACCACTCTCTGCCAACCCCCAGGGAAGGCACGGCCCCCCAGCTTTACAGATGAGGAAGAGACAATTCAGAAACTGGCCCACTGTCCCCGCTAACACGGGACAAATGGAGGAGGAGGAGGGCCGGCTCCACGGGCTTCCCCAGGGTACCCAGGGCAGGGCCTGGGCTCAGCTGAGCAGCAGACTCCGCCTCGAGTACACGGGGCAGGGCGTGCTGTCAGCTTGGCCTCCGGGGGGCCCAGTCCGCTCGGGCGCCAGTTCTGATCCATCTCAGGACCATTCAGCAGACATCGATGCAGAAGGGCCAGAGCCAGCGGCTGGCCTCAGACAGGAACCCTCCCGTCTGAACGCCTTCTCACCGGGAAAGGCCCCCTAGCCTCTCACGTTACTACCGGGAGGTGTGCGTGGATGTCAAGGGCACGAGCTTCAGAACAAAAACGCCTGGGCTAAAGGCCTGGCACTGTTGCTCACTCACTATCTGTGTCATCCTGGGCCAGGGTCCCGCTCTCTCTAAGCCTCAGTTCCTCCTTCTACAAAAGGGGGCTCTCACGCCAGTTCCTATGTGTGAGCCTGCTCTGGGAATGGAGTGAGACCATGTGTGGACAGCACCACCACGGGGCCACTTCCTGATATTATAACCAGATGTGACCTCTTCAGGGTTCCCCGTGTTGTCCACGCCCGCCCTCAACCTGTTAGGTTCCGACAGGGTCTCCGTACCGCGGCAGGACCTGCTTCCCACTCTTGGGGTCTCGACAGAACACGGTGCCCTACAGTGAGGGCTCCTTTCCCGTGTGGACCCTCCCCTCTCCCACCCGGAGCCACACGCTGCACCTGGGGCAGATGCTCAACAAAGGTGGGCCACTCCCAGCGAGGCCTGCCTGCCGGTGCCCCATGTGGGTCGGGGCGTGCATCCCACAGCTGCAAACAAACCAAGGCCCGAGTGATTCAGACAGACCACGGACAGCAGCAGACCACCCTCATGTGAGGCAGGCAGCCATGCCAGACACGCGGTGACACAGTACAATCAGGCACCAGGCTGTGTGCGCGCGCGTGTGTGTGTGTGTATTGTGTGCACGCGTGTGTGCATTTCTCAGAATTTATCATGTCTTGGTGCATGCGCTGGATGGGTCTTCCATGCCATCACTGGTGTGATTTAGTTTCTTTACCTAAAAAAGTAGCTCCACCTGCAGGAATGCAGCAAGACGATGCCATGGACTCACCTCTGCACACGTGAGTGTCCGCGTCCGATTGTGAACTTTGTTATGGATGAACTTGGTGGTCCCGTCCTGAGCTACACCATCAACCTTAACAGTCATGGTGAAGGTTGTCTGAATAGATGTTTCTACAGAAGGAAGAATCCCAGTATTAAGAGTCCACTACAGCAGATGCGCCCGCTGGCCTGGCTGTGTGTCAGCCCAGGGAGGTCCCTCTGCGAGTCGGCAAAGCTGACACCCGCCAGCAAGGGCGAGCCCTCGGACCCACCGCCATCTTCCATCTCACAAAAGGCCAAGTTATTTCATGGCTGATTAAAGTTATATTTTTTATTTTCCCAGATATGTTTTAATCTAACTTCATACCAAGATAAAAATGTTTCTTATTTTTCTGATTATATAATCTCTTATTTCTCTGATCATATGCTCATTGTTAAAAAAACATCTAGGAACACAAATACAAAGATATACATAAAGTATTAAATGTATAATCCCACCACCAGAGAAACTGATTTCATGTTTGGGTCCATGCTTCCAGACTGTCTTCTAGACTACACAAATGTGTAGTGCTATCAGATTTTTTAATGCTTTTTAAAATGTTACAAAAAGGGGTTGATTTTTTTATACTATGCATTTTTTTTCCACTTAATCTACTGCAGTCATTGGGTTATCTTTCCAACTCTTTCAACCTAAGCACCTCTCTGAATCACAGCACGTAGAGAATGAGATGGCGTGTGCTCTCGGTTCTCGGGGAGCTGCCCTGGGTAGACACAGTGAGGTCACCGCAGACGCTGGGTGCTTCGGACCGGATTTCTCCACCTTTGCACCACAGGTGTTTTGAGGCCAGCTAATTCTTCACTGTGGGCAGTTAGTCCTATGGTTGCAAGATGTGGAGCAGCATCTCTGGTCTCCACCCTCTGCTAACAGCCCCTGCCTCCCAGCTGTGACAGCCATAATGTCATGGTGCCCCTGGACACGGTCAAGTGTCCCTGGGAGACACTTGGTGTCCCTGGGGCACCAGGACCTCGTTCTCTCCACCGAAGCCCCGGGAGGAGGCTGCCGCTGGAGCACCTACAGCATGCAGGCTTTGAGCCAGGCTGCCCAGCAGCCCTGGGTGAGAACTGGCACCCGGAGCATGACCAGTAGCCCTGAGGGCCTCCTGGAGCTTCCTGAGGGAGGCATTGTCACTTGCCCTGGAGGACGTCTAGGTGGCTTCCAACTTGCTGGTATTAGAAAGAATAATCACCATCATTATAATTCATCTTTGAGCAGTTGCTAGAAGATTTTAAAGCTCTTTGAACCTTTAAAAAAAAAATCATTCTAAAGTGTCAGGCTTCATACCTTTTGATTGATCCAACTCGACAACACACGTCAGCCATAGCTGCTGATTATATGTAGACAGTGGTTTGGAAAATATTTGAATTGGCTTTAGCTGAGGCAGAAAGAAAGAAAAGTTCAAATAATCCAGGTGACTTTCTCAGCTGAGTCTCCAAATGCCTCACCTTAACATAGACCATCCAAATTTGCACAAATGGTTGGAATGTCAGCTCTGGGAACAGGAGCATGCAGTTTTCCCTTTGGATAATATAAGTGAAACTCTGCCTTCCAGAAAAAGGAAGGACTAACTTTCTCCTGCACTTCACTTCGGACTCTCACGACAACTTTTAAGCAGGTGGTTTCTACCCCCTATTAAGTAATAGACCTACTTCAATAACATGAAAAGGCCTCCTTGGAGAAGAAAAAAAAAAAGATTAAAATGCATAGGATGATACAAATAATAAAATAATGGATACCAATGAATATTTTCACATTCACAAGAATCATTTTTTTTTTAGTACCAATATGCCAGGTGTGTCACTGACGTCTGTTATTTTCAGATTTAATGGCCATGGGCAGAAAAATTAGAGGGGACCACATTGCCAAACAGTGAGCGATTTTATTTTCCTGAGCTCCAAAATCACTGCAGATGGTGACTGCAGCCATGAAATTAAAAGACACTTGCTACTTGGAAGAAAAGCTACGATAAACATAGACAACGTATTAAAAAGCAGAGACATCACTTCGTCCACAAAGGTCCGTCTAGTCAAAGCTATGGTTTTTCCAGCAATCGTGTATGGATGTGAGAGTTGGACCACAAGGAAGGCTGAGCGCCGAAGAATTGATGCTTTCCAACTGTGGTGCTGGAGAAGACTCTTGAGAGTCCCTTGGACTGCAATGATATCAAACCAGTCAATCCTAGAGAAAATCAACCCTGAATATTCGTTGGAAGGACAGGTGCTACAGCTGAAGCTCCAATACTTTGGCTCCTCAGCAAAGAGCTGACTCACTGGAAAAGACCTGGATGATGGAAAAGACTAAAGGCAGGAGGAGAAGGGGACAACAGAGGGTGAGATGGTTGGACGGCATCACCGACTCAATGGACATGAGTTTGAGCAAGCTCTGGGAGTTGGTGATGGACGGGGAAGCCTGGAGTGCTGCAGTCCATGGGCTCGCAAAGAGTCGGATACGACTGAGCGACTGAACTGAACTGAAGGATATGTGAACGAAAAGTATGAAGAAAATTCCAATAAAGATTAAAAAAAAAAAGATTTCCACATGGGAGGATCAGGATGAGCTAACCAGCCATTGGAAATGAACTGCTGCTCCCTTAGAGGTAATACCACCATCCTTTCTCAGCACTGAGGCCACAATTACAGCAGAAAAGGTAATTTTAGCAAATTAGGACCCAGAGGCCAGCAGCTGAAGGTGGAGTAAGAAATATGTATTGCCTGAGAAGCAAGCGGCAGGGCAAGGGGGAGGTTGATTTTAATGACCCTCTAAGCAGGACCATTTCTTAGTGACCCAGAAATTTACAGGGCCCACCAGCTGCCACTTAGACCCAGTCTTACCTTTTTGCTATTATTTAGTGAAATATTAGCTGCAGAAGTCTGGATCACTTTGGGCCCTAAAGCGTAACAGAGAAAGAAAAAGCAGGTTATAACTATGTTGATAATTCATCTATTGATTTTTTTTTAAATGCCAAGAAAGTCTCATATATTATACAGAGGTAGTCTTTTTCCTGGTCTGCCTCTGGAGTCTTCATACACACACACACACATATCTACACAAATACACATATCTATGTATGTAAAATATATAAACATGAACACAGACATACAACATCTACTCTGCTGCACACAATGACCTCCCAACTCAGGCGAACAGAACATGACACCACACAACACACACGATTTCCACGGGATTCTGTGTGCAGTTCCCCTCTCCCCCTCCCCTGCTCTCTGGGAAGGCTCTCTCTGCAGTGTGTGGATTTAAGCAAGCACCAATGACACAGATATCGTCTACATAGTTTGTGTAAAGATTTCTGCTAAAAAATTATACACCTTGATCCATTCACCCAATTAATCTAGTCTTCCAAAAATATTGAGGATTTTAAGAAGGCATGATATATACTAATATATTCTCAAGGCTTTTACTGAAATAACAGAGAATCAAGCTTCAAAGAATCTTACACTGTGATATTTCAGAGGCTTTTGGCCTTAAAAGAAGTCATCAAAGGAAACCTTGGGAACCTGGTTCCATTCAGAACTGGATTTGTGCTGTAGCAAACCCCTGGCAGCCTGCTGGTGTTCCGGGCCGTCCTGTGGCCACACCCAGCCTGCTGCCAACCACCCTCTGCTTGGAGCCAGAGATGCCCGAGTTAAGAACTCAACCAGGGCAGGAGCACCCCTGTGGGGTGTGTCCACGCAGGCTGAGCGAGACAGGAAGGAGGCTGGGCTCCACAGACAGGCTCATTTCAAACCGACTCACAATCCGAGTGCGCTCCTGCCCCAGGAAGTAAGGCAGTCTGTCTCTCAGGAAGGGTTAAGAACTGGGAGTCAGGAGGCCTCGACTTGAGTCTCAGCTAAAGGCTCTCTGGATCTCACTCCCTCATCTGCAAAGCCCAGTGGCTCCTTGGACACTCCTAACTCTGAAGTCCTCACAGCCTCATTCTAGAAAGTAACTTTCTTTGGCGCTAGTGGTACAGAACCTGCCTGCCAATGCAGGAGACACAAGAGACACAGGTTCGATCCTTGTATCAGGAAGATCTCCTGGAGAAGGAACTGGCAACCCACTCCAGTACTCCTGCCTGGAAAATTCTATGGACAGAGGAGCCTGGTGGACTCTGGCCCATGGGATCGCTAAGAGTCGAACATGAGCGACTGAGCACACACATCAACAGAAAGTCACTGCGAGCAGCGGGCTTGTGATGACGATTTTGTATTTCCACTCGACTGGGTCCATGATGCCCAGATACCTGGTGAAACATTACTTGGGGTGTGTCTGTGAGGGTGTTTCTGGATGAGACCATCTTCTGAATCAGCAGGCTAAGTAAAGCGGGCCGCCCTCCCAGTATGGGTAGGCCTTGTCCAAATCGGTGAAGGCCCGGACACAGCAGAAGCAGAGTCAGGGAGGATTTGCTCTCTTCTCCTCTGTCCTCAAGCTGGTAACACGAGTCCTCACCCTTCTTCAGACGCAGGAACTGCGTTGTCGGCTCTCCTGGGCTTCCAGCTTGCCGACTGCCCACTGTGGAAGCTCTCCGCCCCCAGTCACGAGAGCCGAGGCCTCATGATAAAGTATCCCTTTCTCATCTCCCCCCACCATCTGCAGCTCCCATCGGTTCAGTTTCTCTGGGGAACCCTGACTCACACAGATTCTGGTACCGAGAGTGGCACCGTAGGATCAGCGGGGGAAGGGTGAGTTTTCTACACTGGCTCTGGGGGTTCTGGAACTGATTCTCTAACCTGATTAAAGATGCTAACAACTGTATGTCCCATAGTAAAATGAGCACTGATGGTCCAGGAACATATGCAAAATATTTTCATTAGATGCTCCTAATCAACCATTTACTACAAACAGCAAGGAGTTAAGCGACCCTGTTTAGGGATACTTCAGAACATTCTTGGAAAACTAACATAATGCGGATGGCGGGCTGCTCCTAATGTCACTGGACAAGGTGGCGAGAGACAAGGAAGAGCTCAGGGACTTGAATTCTCAGCTCAAGGGCCGCACACGTGATCTCAAAGTGCCTGTGTGGGCCCTGATGGAGACACTTATTTCCTACGGCCACAGGGCTGAGACTTCTGAAGATCACACAGGAATCTCCTCCTGAGACTGGCTGAATCACAACCCAGCTAAGCGCCCAGCCTCACAGGGAGCCATGCTGCTGAAATGACCACGCTGACCAGGAGAGAACAGGAGCTTGTTCCAGGGACACGCGGGGGGGTCCTGACGAAGCTGGGCATACTAAATTCCCACAAGTCCTTTCCCAGTGGGACGTTCTCCCCATTCCCCTTGGAAGGGGCCCTCCCACCTCCTCGTGATGGACCAGCCCTGCCCCACCTAAGCAGTCAGGGACGGCTCCTCGGAGGCAGCGCAGGACCACACTTCTCCGCATGATCCACCCTCTTCACCTCTAGACCTGTAACTAGGCTCACATCCCAGCAGGCCCCAGGGGGGAGGCACAGGACCCGTGAGGATGCATGCTAAGTGCCTGAAGAACGACCTGAGTTTCCTGATTTATGCAGACAGAAACCCAGGGAATACAGTGTGTGATGATGGTGAAAGGAACGTGAAGCCGTCTCAGGCCCATCGGATGGATACGGGTTCACCAAGCAGAGATTCTGCACTGAAAAGCTGTAGCTCATGGAGACAGAAAGGGCTCCCAGGGTTTGACTGGGTGGTTGGGTAAAACAAGGACCCAAAGGTGGTTCCAGTGAATGAATCAGAAATGCTGTACCTGCCCAGGTTTAGTGTATGGGGGGGGCAGGGGGGAGTCACAGACTTAGGGAGTGGGATTGCTAGGGTGGATTCGTCATTTAAGACCTACTGGGAGAGGGATGGGGAATACATGTAAATCCATGGCTAATTCATTTCAATGTATGACAAAAACCACTGCAATGTTGTAAAGTAATTAGCCTCCAACTAATAAAAATAAATGGGAAAAAAAAAAAAGAAAAAAATAAAAAATAATTCCCCCCCCCAAAAAAAAAAAAAAAACCTACTGGGAGAGTCCAGAAGACACGCCTTTCACACTGCTGTGAGAAATGTATTTGTGAGGGGAGCCCTGAGCATCCTTCAAGTGCTCTATGATGGTCCTGCTCTGCAGGCTGGGCCTTACCGTGGGAACTACGGCCCCCAAGCTGGGAAACAAGATGCAGGGGCAGGAGCTGGATCCCAGGGGTGGCAGGGGCCATGGGGTGACACCAACTGCCAAAGGCATGGTGGGCATGCTCACCGTGATGGACAGCAGAATCATGGCAGTCAGACAATCTGATTCCCACAGACCTATGGCATTAGCTAACTGATCATGGTGGTCCCAGACGTGAAATACACAGGAAGCCTAACAAATCCTTACTTGATCTGCATAAGCAGGAAAGTTCAAGTCAAGTGTACGAAAGTCTAACATACATCATAAAAATAGAGAACCATAACCCATCAGTAGTTTCCAAATACGAGCCAGTTTACAGACCCAAGGGCCCTTGAACAAAGGGAAGGTTGGGTCCCCTTAAGAAAGCACCCCAGTATACCGCCAAACACTTGTACTGTCAATCATTCTCCCAGAGAAGAGAATGATTGGTCTTCTACCAGGACAAGTGCACTGAAGAAAATCAGATGATTAATTTGGGGAACTGCTGGACACTGGCTCTGAACTGATACTGATTTTAAGAGACTCAAAACTCCACTGCGGTCCACCAGAGTAGGGACCTATGGAGGCCAGGTGATCAATGGGGTTTTAGTCAGGTATGCGTCACAGTGGGCCCAGCAGGTCCCCAAACCCATCCTACAGTTAATTTCCCAGTTCTGGAATCCATAAATTGAATAGATAAACCCAGCAGCTGTCAGAGCCTGCACACTGCCCCCCCCCTCCCCCCCACGGTTACCTCTATCCCATGCTCACCGCTCTCACCCCTTCCCCAGAATCTGCTGCACTGGAACCGGTTACACGGCCCATCCCCTCCATCAAACAGCATGTTCTGGATTCCCCAATGCCCAGGGTAGGTTCTGGAGCACAACAGACTCTTCCAACTCACAGAACACGGGCAAGGCTGCCCAGTGCTGCCAAGCTGAGCACAAGCCTTGGCTGCTGTGAAGGGCAAGACCAGGGTCAGCCCTCTGTGCGTCGCCCTCCGTGATGGGGTCATCAGGGGCTAAGAGCAAGTGGGTACAGCTAAGCTGAGCTGAATGCACTGCACCAAGGTAACTGTAAATGATAAGAAGGTCAAAAACTGCTCCTCATCTCAGGGAACATTCCCAAATTTACTCTATGAGGACACCATCATCCTGATACCAAAACCAGACAAAGAAACTATCAAAAAAGAAAATTACAGCCCAGTATATTTGATGAATATAGACAGAAAAATTCTCAAAAAAAATATTAACGAACCAAATCCAACAGCATAAAAAAAAAGCTCATACTCCATGACCAATTGGGATTCATCCTAGCATCAAAAGAATGGTTCAAAACACGCAATGTGATAACACCATATCAATAAAAGATAAAATCCACATGATCATCTCAATAGATGTGAAAAAAGCATTTGATAAAACTCAACATCTACTCATGATAAAAACTCTTATCAAAGTGGGCAAAGAGGGAACCTACCTCAACATAATAAAAGCTATTTATGAAAAACCCACAGTCAACATAATACTCAATGGTAAAACACAGAAAGCTTTCCTGCTAAAATTTGGAACAAGACAAGGATGCCCACTCTCACCACTTCTATTCAACAGTGGATTAGAAGTTCTAGCAACAGCAACTGGACAAGAAAAACAAAACTTCTCCAAACTGGAAAAGAAGAGGTAAAACTATCATTATAAAATGTCATTATACAGAGATGACATAATGTTATATATAGAAAACCCTAAGGATTGCACATAAAAACTATTAGAGCTGATAAACAAATTCAGCAAGGTAGCAGGATACAAGATTAACATACAGAAATAAGTTGCATTTATTTACACTATCAATGAAATATTAGAAAGGGAAAGTTAAAAAAAAATCCCTTTTAAAAATCACATCAAAAAAATAAAATACTTAGGAATAAACTTGGCCAAGGAAGTGAAAGACTGGTACACTGAGAATTGTAAACATTGGTAAAGGAAACTGAAGATGATTTAAAGAAATGGAAAAATGTCCTATGGTTGTAGATTGTAAAAATATTGTCAAAATGGCCATACTAACCAAAGCAATCTACTGATTTAATGCTATCTCTATCAAATTACCCGTAACAATTTTCACAGAACTAGAACAAATAATCCTAAAATTTATATAGAACCATAAAAGACCTAGAACTGCCAAAGCAATCCCGAGGAAAAAGAACAAAGCTGGAGGCATAACCCTCCCAGACTTCAGACAATACTATAAAATTAGAGTAATCAAAACAGTGTGGTATTGGCACAAAAACAGACATATGAATCAATGGAACAGAGTAAAGAGCCCACAGATAAACCCAGACACCTGCTGTCAATGACCTCTGACAAGGGAGGCAAGTATGAATATACAATGGAGAAAAGACAGTCTCCTCAGTAAGTGGTGCTGGGAAAGTGGAGAGTCACATATAAATCAGTGAAGCTGGAACACATCCTCACATCCTACACAAAAATAAACTCAAAATGAATTAAAATTTTAAATATAAGACATGATACCATAAATTTCCTAGAAGAGAATAGGCAAAACATTCTCTGACCAAAAAATAAATAAATAAAAACAGAAAAAAGAAAACAAAAAGGGAAACAAGAAAAAAAAACAAAAAACATTCTCTGACATAAATCTTAGCGATGTTTTCTTAGGTCAGTCTCCCAAGGCAATAGAAACAAAAGCAAAAATAAACAAAAGGGATCGAATCAAACTTACAAGCTTTTGCATAACAAAGGAAACTACAAACAAAATGAAAAGACAACCTATGAACTGAGAGAAAATATTTGCAAATTATCTGACTGACAAGGTCTTAATTTCCAAAATATATAAGGAGTTCATACAACTCAATAAAAAAATAAACCAATCCAAACAAAAAATGGGCAGAAGATCTAAACAGACATTTCTCCAAAGAAGACAGAAAAGGTCTAAGTCGCTCAGTCGTGTCTGACTCTCTGCGATTCCATGGACTGTAGCCCGCCAGGCTCCTCTGTCCATGGAATTCTCCAGGCAAGAATACTGGAGTGGGTAGCCATTCCTTTCTCCAGGGGATCTTCCTGACCCAGGGATCAAACCCGGGTATCCTGCATTGTGGGCAGATCTGAGCTACCATCTGAGCTACAGGGAAGCCCAAAGAAGACATACAGATGGCTGACAGGCCCAGGCAAAGGTGCTCAACATTGCTAATTACTAGACAAATGAAAATCAAAACTACAATGATGTCCCACTTCACACTGGTTAGAATGGCCGGCATTAAAACATCTACAAATAATGCTGGAGAGGGTGTGGAGAGAAAAGGGAACCCTCCTACACTGTGGGTGGGAATGTAAATTCATATGGAGAACAGTACAGAGGTTTCTCAAGACTAAATATAGAGTTGCTATATGACCCAGCGCAATCCCACTCTTCTGCTTATATTGGGACAAAACTGTCATTCAAAAAGATACACGCACCTCTATTTACAATAGCCAGGCATGCAAACAACCTAAATGCGCAGCGACAGATGAATGGATAAAGATGTGGTACATATCTACAACTGAATACTACTCAGCCACAGAAAAGAATGAAATGATGTCATGTGCAGCTACATGGATGGACCTAAAGATAATCATACTGAGTGAAGTAAATCAGAAAGAGAAACACAAAGACCGTACGATATCACTTCTATGTGGACTCTAAAACATGACACAAACTCATTTACAAAACAGAAACAGTCACAGATACAGAGAACAGACTTGTGGTGGCCGAGGCGGGGAAGGGAGGCATGAGAGAGTCAAGTTGGGAGTTTGGGATCAGCAGAGGCAAATTATAACATACAGGATAGACAAACAAGGCCCTACTATACAGCACGTGGAACTATATTCAACGTCTTGTGATAAACCATTAGGGAGAAGAACATGAAAAAGAATATATATATATATGTATAGCCAGATCACTTTCCTGAACAGCAGAAACTCACTCAAGATTATAAATCAATTATACTTCAAAAAACAAAAACAACTGCTCCTCACCTCTGATCCCAACGAAGACGGTCAGGCCAAAGCACACGAAGAAGACGACGAACACCAGGACGAAGTGATGCTTGGAGAGCGTGTAGAGCCGCATGGGCGCCAGCCTGCGGGGGGAAGCTGGGGTGAGGGGCGGCAGGGTGAGGGCCTCCCCCACCACCTGGGAGCCCCAGACCAGGCGACCTGGTTCACCAAACTGTCCCAATAACCTCAGTGACCACGGCCAGGCTGGGGGCCATTCGGTGTGTTCTGGGCCCAGCAGGGCATGGGGGAGGGTCCCTGCCACCCGAGCTGCAGGGCCCCCAGGCAAAACCCACCCTCATGGGGGGAGGATATATCTCGAAGTCCACTCGGGGCACGCGGACCAGGTCACAGACACAGGAGGCTGACCTCCTCCACTCCCCTACCTCCAGCAGCCAGAGCCGAGCCCAGGCCAGGAGGCCCTAACTCCTCGCATGGGGACTATCAGCTGCCAGGATCAAGCCTGGACCGGCGCAGGCTTGCCTGCAGGTGGTTCCAGGCACCCCCAGCATCACGTGTCTACCTCATCTTCCAGCCAGCCCCTGGCTTTGGGCTTCCTGTCCAGGGTCCCTCTCAGGCTGACACCCCTCGCTGACCTCACCCATCAGGGTGAAGCTTGGCCTGGCCTTCACTGTGGGGTCTGGGTTTGAAGCAACTTGGCAAGCTGCCTGCAGGTGTCCATGATTTATGCCAACAGGAAAGCCGTCCCATCCCGAGGGTCCGTCCTAACACTCATTCCTTTAGCACCTCTTATTCATCTCCTTTCTTCTTCTGTCACAAACAAACGGTGGTGTGAAAGGTCATCATGTCTCTTTTATTTTTTAATTTATTACTTTACTTTACAATATTGTATTGGTTTTACCATACACTGACTTGAATCCTCCATGGGTGTACTTGTGTCCCCCATCCTGAACCCCCGCTTCCATCTCCCTCCTCATCCCATCCCTCTGGGTCATCCCAGTGCACCAGCCCTGAGCACCTTGTCTCATGCATCGAACCTGGACTGGTGATTCGTTTCACATATGCTAATAAACATGTTTCAATGCCATTCTCCCATAAGATCTTGCCCTTGCCCTCTCCCAGAGTCCAAAAGACTGTTCAATACATCTGTGTCTCTTTTGCTGTCTCACATACAGGGTTATCGTTACCATCTTTCTAAATTCCATATATATGCGTTAGTATACTGTATTGGTGTTTTTCTTTCTGGCTTACTTCACTCTGTATAATAGGCTCCAGTTTCATCCACCTCATTAGAACTGATTCAAATGTATTCTTTTTAATGGCTGAGTAATATTCCATTGTGTATATGTACCACAGCTTTCTTATCCATTCATCTGCTGATGGACATCTAGGTTGCTTTCATGTCCTGGCTTTTGTAAACAGTGCTGCGATGAACACTGGGGTACACGTGTCTCTTTCCATTCTGGTTTCCTCAGTGTGTATGCCCAGCAGCGGGATTGCTGGGTCACATGGCAGTTCTATTTCCAGTTTTTTAAGGAATCTCCACACTGTCCTCCATAGTGGCTGTACTAGTTTGCATTCCCACCAACAGTGTAAGAGGGTTTCCTTTTCTCCACACCCTCTCCAGAATTTATTGACTGTAACTTTTGGATAGCAGCCATTCTGACTGGTGTGAAGTGGTACCTCATTGTGGTTTTGATTTGCATTTCTCTGATAATGAGTGATGTTGAGCATCTTTTCATGTGTTTGTTAGCCATCTGTATGTCTTCTTTGGAGAAATGTCTGTTTAGTTCTTTGGCCCACTTTTTGATTGCGTCTTTTATTTTTCTGGAATTGAGGTGCAGGAGTTGCTTGTATATTTTTGAGATTAATTCTTTGTCCGTAGCTTCATTTGCTATTATTTCCTCCCATTCTGAAGGCTGTCTTTTCACCTTGCTTATAGTTTCCTTTGTTGTGCAGAAGCTTTTAATTTTAATTAGGTCCCATTTGTTTATTTTTGCTTTTATTTCCAATATTCTGGGAGGTGGGTCATAGAGGATCCTTCTGTGGTTTATGTCAGAGAGTGTTTTGCCTATGTTTTCCTCTAGGAGTTTAACAGTTTCTGATCTTACGTTTAGATCTTTAATCCACTTTGAGTTTATTTTTGTGTGTGGCTTTAGAAAGTGTTCTAGTTTCATTCTTTTACAAGTGGTTGACCAGTTTCCCCAGGACCACTTGTTAAAGAGACTGTCTTTTCTCCACTGCATATTCTTGCCTCCTTTGTCAAAGATAAGGTGTCCGTAGGTGCATGAATTTATCTCTGGGCTTTCTATTTTGTTCCATCGATCTATATTTCTGTCTTTGTGCCAGTACCATACTGTCTTGATGACTGTGGCTTTGTAGTAGAGCCTGAAGTCAGGCAGGTTGAGTCCTCCAGTTCCACTCTTCTTTCTCAAGATTGCTTTGGCTATTCGAGGTTTTTTGTATTTCCATACAAGTTGTGAAATTATTTGTTCTAGTTCTCTGAAAAATACCGTTGGTAGCCCGATGGGGATTGCATTGAATCTATATATTGCTTTGTGTAGTATACTCATTTTCACTATATTGATTCTTCTGATCCATGAACACAGTATATTTCTCCATCTATTTCTGTCCTCTTTGATTTTCACCAGTGTTTTATAGTTTTCTATATATAGATCTTTTGTTTCTTTAGGTAGATATATTTGTAACTATTTTATTTTTTTTTTGTTGCAATGGTGAATAGAATTGTTTCCTTAATTTCTCTGTTTTCTCATTGTTAGTATATAGGAATGCAAGGGATTTCTGTGTGTTAATTTTATATCCTGCAACTTTACTATATTCATTGATTAGTTATAGTAATTTTCTGGTGGAGTCTTTAGGGTTTTCTATGTAGAGGATCATGTCATCTGCAAACAGTGAGAGTTTTACTTCTTCTTTTCCAATCTGGATTCCTGTTATTTCCTTTCCTGCTCTGATTGCTGTGGCCAAAACTTCCAAAACTATGTTGCATCATGTCTCTTCTAGAACTCCCTACATCAGGGGCTGGCTAACTGAAGAATCTGTGAAAGACGGGACTTAAATACTCAGGGCGTGGCAGGCTCCGAGGACCCTGACCCAAAGGGGAGGCTGCCCCCCACCCCGAGACCCTGAAGCCTGGAGAGATCAGAGCCTCTGGGGTTTTCCATTTTGCTTTGCTTCCACTGTTCTTTTTATGGCTCACCGTTTCCTGGCCCAAGGAGCTGAGGAAGCAGGAAGGAATTTCTCATGCCTTCAGGGCAGGCCAGTGATGACACACCCCCCTGGAGGAGGAGACTCAGGCTCTGAACCAGGAAAGGAGGGAAGGTTGTTTGCTCTTTATCAAGTTCACAGTTGTGAGCACACAAACCCCTCTCCCTTGCAGGTCCAAGGCCACAGCTGGCCGGGAACGCATCTGGGCGGCCTCCCAGGGCAAAGGGACCCGAGTCCCTCTGACGTAGCTCTGCTGACATTGAGTCAGCACTCTCCTGCGGGGCCTGCCAGGCCTGGGCGAGTGAACTTTCAGATGGGGTGGCCAGCAAAGAAATGAAGGAACAGGTGTCTTCCCATCTGGGACTCGGGTGTGAAAGCTGAACCACAAACAACCCTGGTGGGTATGGGAAGTGAGAGCTTGTGAACTAAGTGGCCTGATCCCAACTCAACTTTGGGATCCTAAGGATAATAAGAGGCCTGAAAGCCTTACACTAATAGAGCCAGACACAAGCTCAGCGAGGAAGTCCTTGGATTTGCAGGCGGGGAAACCAAGAGATGGTAGATTCTTGCCCGAGATGCCACAGCTCTGCCCTCGGCAGTCCTGATGGTCTCCTGGGTCACATGCACCACCCCACCCCGCCCCACCTCATGAGAGGCCTCAGCGTACCCTGTAGAGAGAAGACTTCATCGCAGGTACACTTGGCATTCACACACTCATGTGTGTGTGCTCAGTCACTCAGTTGTGTCTGACTCTTTGCAATCCCATGGCCTGCAGCCCGCCAGGCTCCTCTGTCCATGGAATTCTCCATGGAAGAATACTGGAGGGGATTGCCATGCCCTCCTCCAGGGGATCTTCCCGACCCAGGGATCAAATTCACATCTCTTATATCTCCTGCATTGGTAGGCGGATTTTTTACCACTAGTGTCACCTGGGAAGCCCTCCACGCTCATAACAGTGCACAAAGCTACATGGACTGGATGCTGGGGGATGTGCAGACATGCTCAGATGTTAACGGGACCGCCCCAGTGGGGACTGGAGCTCTGACAAACATGCTGGATGGTGACACGCAGGGAGCCTGGCGGAGGGTGTGCAGAAACACCCTGCACTGTCTTCACCACTTTTCTGTATGCCTGAAGTTTTTTAAAGAAATACATAAAGTCACCCATGGCATACACACCCCCCTCACCCCCGCCCGCTGCCCTCAGGCACTCTGAGGGCGCCAAGGGCCTTCCAGCAGCTCAGAATAGATGACCTCTAAGCAGAGGAAAACAGAATAAGAATAGTTATATTTAATGCTTGATTTTTAAAGCATATCATCAATAAGATGCATTATCGGTGATTTACTATAAAAGCACAGTTCCTCAGCAGGTGAGAAGGCTGAAGTGCCTGCAGTACACAGACCACTGTGGGTTTGCTTCCAATTTTCTCCTTGGGGACTCAGGATAGATCTGCCATTTCCCTTTCCACTTCAATCCAATTTATTAGCTATTTTCCTAGCTCGGTAATCAAGTCTCACCCACCCGGACAGAAAAAAGACACGGAGGAGGCAAAATAAGCCCCCAGGGTGAGCAAATGGCATTGCACAACCAGCCCAGCTGACCTGGGTTTGCAAGGAATGGGCTGGGCTCCAGGTCTCACATCTCTCTGCTCCCCACTTCCCCTGTGGCAGGACCTCACCTCACGCTGGAGGGATGTGACGGCTCTGGTGTCCTGGGCTGGGGGATACTGCCCAGACCAAGGACAGGCTGATGATGTGCCCCCCTCCACCAGCCTGCTCTCCATGTGTCTCTGAACACTTTGAAGCAGCTCACCCAGAACCCGGAGACTCCTGAGATGCCGGGGACGGCCTGCCGGCCCGCACTACTGACCCCAGTCCAGAGAACTCCAAGACGCCAC